TTTTCCCATCTTTCATAATCAACACCCGTTTGGTAGCTATCCCTTTTAGTTTATGAGATATTAATTTGAAAATCGTCGAAAAAAGTATCAAGCACCCCCCCTTGGCAATTTTTTTCTTAAGAATGAAAATTTCATCTTTCTGATTTTCGTTTTAACTATCCTATCTGATAGAGTATAGTCCGTACATTAAGACGCTGCGATCAGATCTTAAATATCTCTTTTAGTTTACGAGATATTCATGATTTTCTCTTATTCACTCGCAGGCTAAACCATATAAACGAATACGTTGGTCTCTTTTAAGTGTCGTTTCATTAATTTTGAAATCACAACGATTCTAAATAAGTTTTCACTTTTAATAGAATAACATTTATCTCACTCAGTATAATCGCAGTCGGCAAACACCTCTTTCATGTAATTAAACCACACTGGATTATAATGCGAAATAAATTGATCGATTTCAAATAAATTACTTAGCGTGCAAAACTCAGCGCTATCATATTTCGTCCTGATTATAACCATCTTACCAGTATTAATTTCTTCAAGACTCGGCCCCAAACGAAATTCGAAAAAATCGTTTAAAATGGTAAATTACTAAGTGAAACCAAAACGGGTGTAATCAGGACGGGGCTATACCTGTAACTTTATCGTCCTAGTGGGTTCGACTCGCCAAGACAGAATTCTAATCTCAATCTTCAAAACCAATATCTTTTCGATGTGCGAGCCACATCCTGTGTATCAGCATTGAGGTGTGTCTTAAGTGTGTTCTGCACAGATTCAACTTTTAATTTGATTTCGGTTTTTGGCTTCTCCAAAAGCGAGAAAAAATTGATAGCTACCTACCGGTTCAATCCTCTCTTCTGCTACCATTTAATAAACGTTTAAACTCAAAACTATAACTTTGATTTTCGGTTAAAATCGAAGTTTGTAATTTCGGCCTAATTTACTCTAATACTATATTGACCTTCGGTGCAGTTTTATTATGCTCTGGAACTTCTGAAGCAGTGAAACGCAAATATTGCAATCAATTAGTGACCATTACTTTTAATTCTCTTAATATGCGGTTTGGGCAATGCGGATGCACGCGCACAGCTAATGTCAGAAACATTCATGAAGAAAAAAACCGTTCTGAAACGTTTTGTTTGAATGTGCTATCGATTTTAATGATAGAGCTTCATAACCAGCAATTAAGCAATTATTGGGGCTTAATGTGGGCAATTTGATAACGATTTTAAATGCAAACTTTGTGGAATTTTCGAAAATGCAAGTCATTGCTACAGATAAATTTATTCAGCTTTAAATTTTGTATTTTGTGTAACAAATAACCGTTTTATTCACGTTATGATTAATTATGTGAACAAATTTACTTTTGGTTGATTTTTAATTCACCGTAACTGTAAACGGAATATTTTAATGTAAGCCATAGGTCAGTATTTTGTTTACTCATGTTTACATGCTTCATTTTTCGTCCCTCGACACATGAAAATGCGCCGTGAAAGAGTGGAAGCTCAAAAGCAATTATAGTCTACTTATCGTAAGACAAAACGCTATGTGGAGTGCGCACTTATGTCTCGTGGTGTCTCGGCGCGCATAAGTGAATGATTAATTACCTCGCCGACCACACATGGCGTTCCACAGAGTAGGTAATACCTACCGACACACTTAGTAAAATTTTACGTTTTATGCGCATTTAATTGTTTTCATAATTTCATTTTATTCCAATGTTTTGATACACAAACATCGCGCGGAGATTGAGTCCGCGCAAAAGTAGCAGCTTAATTAACTTTTATTATTTTCGCAATTTCGCGATTCCGTTAGCCGGTTTTATTTCTTATTTTAATTCGACATAGTAATCAACGCATTCTCGAATTAAAATGAGAGCTAAATGAAACGTTGGTTTTTCTTATCGGTTTTATTTTACGATATGACTTACTCGGAGTTTCTTTAAATGTAAACATTCCTGTTTTTATTCCTGAAATAAAACTTTATTAAAAGAAGAAAAAAATTGATGATGGGAAAAGTCGGCAAAACCTGGGTTAATCACATTTCTGTATTAATGACGGCTTTATTTTCATTCAGCGTCAGATCGAGAAACTCGCCGTCGTAAATTTATTGAAACACGTAACGAAATTTATGGCGCATCTTTGTGTAAAACAAATTGAATCGTGTCATATGTGGCCTACAAAAGTACAAAAAGTGAACTCCATTCATTGCGGCTCGAGTTATTCTTGGTTTATTACATTATTGTTATTAATTTTATTGTTTAACATCTCGGCGTTCGTTTGTCGGTTGATACGGTTATTGCGCGTTGTTCGCAACTGGCGTTTAATGACAAATGATGACTGATGAGTGATTACTTATTACAAGAAGTACAACAACAAGTGAGTTGTTTCGCGTCACAATGAAAGCAAAAATGAGAGCAAATAACACAATGCTGAATTGTTATTGGTGATGATTAATCATTATTTTTATTATTTTTTAAATTACGCACAATATTTGAAGTAGGTGGAACTGCGAAGCGTAGAATTTAATCAATTTTTAATTCTTGCATTTTCAGAATAAAATACAATTGTACAGATATATAACTTTTAACTAGTGATAGCTCCGTGTTGCCGTGTTGTCTGCTTGCAGCGCTTTTTGCTTCTTTACTTCTGCGTCTCCTCATTGCATTCATAGTCTTGTTGCTGTTTGTTTCTTGTTTTATTTTGTCGTAACGTAGTAACCAGTCAAGTTCATCTTTGCTGGTCGTTTTGTTCTTCTTCTGCTGCTGGTTGTCTGAATGAAACTCGGCGACTCCGACTGGAAATCTCGTAGTAATCTAGCCGCCAAGTTCATGTGTGTGTGTGTGTGTGTGTGTGAGTATGCTTGTGTGATGCGTGATTCGACATTCAAGCGCGGCTGAAAACCGTGGGAAGATCTTTTCGCAGGTCGCTGGCTGGTTGCTTCTGATCTGGATGCACAGAACGACCTGTTTCTGTTTCAGAGCTAACGGAGGTAACTTTCATTATTCTCCGCTTCCACTTTAACCTAGCAATCTTCAAACGAAACTCTTATTTTCATCTTAAAGTTTGTTAAACTTTTTGCGCACTTTACGCAGTTTTAAAATCAACTGAATTACGGCACTTTTTTCAAGTTTGACATTTAAATGCAACTAAAAATAAAGTTGAGTTTATGGGATGGAATTGACGGATGGTGCAAGGAGTCAGTTAATGCTTACTGCTTAATGGTTAATGGCAAAAACAATCGGCCAATCGTAACGAATCGGCGTCGTTTTTTAATCGACGGGGAAGCCATTAATAAACACCCATTAATGATCATTACCATCTTCTACCCGAACGTCTCAACATTTCGTTTTGCACTTTTCTTTCGCAACTTCCTTTTACTTCGGTTGTAATTTACAAAACCCCAAAACACAGTGTGTCATCTACCATTTTTACCAAAGCGAAACCGAAACCAAATACAGTAATGCAATTAATATTTATTAAGTCTGGGAATACGAATACGAATGTATTCAATTTCGGATGATATAATGAATGGAATGGAGCATTAAGGCACGCTTTTAGTCAAATTCAGATCGCAATGTCAAGAATTAACATGAATTACATTTGCATTTTAAATTATTGCATTAAGTAACTAAATTAAATTCAAACTGTTTGCAATTTAGCTAAATATTTGATATATTTGATGTGAAAACATGAATGTTTAATTAATTCGTTCGTTTTGGCAATGATTTCATTCAGAAGTCGAAAGAATTAAACCAAAATGAGTTCACAATTCCTTGGGGTTCTTAATACGGGCGTTAATAAAACTGAAACGTAAAATAAAAACTGTTACATTATTAAGAATCGCCGGGTCCCCTTCAGAGCTCGTAGCAGTTTCGCGGTGCATTAATAACTTATAAACAGATAATTCCTGCACGACCTAGGTGGTCGTCGCCACTTCAGCGAAATACGTACGCAACTTAATATCAAAATAATGAAACGCATCAAAGAGAAGCCAAAACGATGCCAATTGAATTCGTGTCCGGTGTCCTCCACCAACTACTCTCATTAACTCATTTGTTTAATGTTGTTTTAAGCGCAAAACTGTTTTAAGTTGTTATTTGCGGTTTGTATTACTTACTTATTTAGGAGTACAAATTATTTTTTAATTAATTGAAATTGTTGCTTGACTTGTGTGGCCGAGATTGAAGATTATACCAAATACAGAACAGAAATGTAATTAACAAGAAATTTCAAGGTGCAATGACAACAAAAAGTTGGAAAAATGTGAGTTATTAAACAAATACATAAATGAATGTTTATATTCAGCTTTTCTCGTATTGTCGCAAGGATTAGCGATTTGTAAAAACGCAATAAACTCATAAATCCAACGCAACGTGAAAGGAATGCCAATGTTTGTAATTTGTACATTAAACAAATAAGATTTAAACATAAAAAATCAAATTTTTAACTGGAAACAATTTAATAACAAGTTCTGTGAATAAGAACCTCAAACAACGATAAATAATTCAAAACTACGGCGCCTGCTTTTTGTTTGCTTAGAAAATTTATTTTGTCGCGCGTACAGAATACTATATCATCGTGTATATGGAAATTTAGGTGATGTGTACTAATGTTTATTCTTATATAAATTCATCAACGTTGCTCTAACTATATTACAAAATTATGTAACACATTTCAACACGTAAAAAAGCCTCCTTTACATCTTCAAAATTTTTTTTGGGTTTTTTTCTGCTTCCAACTTAAAGAAACTCGAAAACAATGCGTAGCGAGATTTATTATTAATAACATGCAGGGAAAACCAAAGGTGAAGATTACATTGTTAACACCGCGATGTTGTGGCACTCGCATACCCCGAGGTGTTGATTTATGCGCGACCGATTTATCCCGCCACGATCTAAATAGTAGTCCGAAATCTCCCATTAGGATTCGATCTGATATTGCACCCCGCGACCACGGGCGTCCAGCATCGCGTCGTCACTTTAGGGGCTCAATAAATAATCATTTTCGATTCGGCGGCGCTGCGCGATGCCCACACGTCGGCAGATGAAAACACCACGGCCCCGTTTTCAACACTCTATAATATTCCACACTATATCTCCTAAACTGTTCACACCTTTGCCCATAATTGCTTATTAACTCTCGCTCCATCCATCTGATAGCATTTCTGTGGCTGCCGGCGTCGGCAATTTTAACACCAGGCTGTGATTTTGGGAATTATCATAAAATATTGATAAGTTTCACATTGTTGAGTTATCTACCGGTTGACTTATCGCAACGTGTGTTATAAATATAATTTTATTGAATAAAATGTGTATTTTGCATATTTTACTTGCGGTTCGATTTCATTCCCTACTCGTAGACTCCGAGGAGTCACATTTCCACTTCTCACTTGGGGAACTTCCAGATGACTATGACCACTGTTAAGAACAGCTTCGTTTGGTTCTAAATATTTCTTTTTCATGTGCCATTTCACTGGTTGCAGTGATATCATTGCAACAAAGCAGTGTAAACTTAATCCGGCTACCACAAATTGCGTTTCTCTCCACGTGAATCTTTCGTTGAATTTTTCTATCATGAAAGGATATCCCATAGCTATGACTGCAATAAGAGTTTGTGCTCCGCTCATCATGAACGTTTGTTTCTTGTTGAAGTAGCCGTTAAACGAGGTGAAACATGCCGGCATCATGAGACCAAGACCGAAACCTTGTAGTACTCCCCAGGTGATAATCAATTGTATCAAAGAGTTGACGTAGCAAGTACCAAAAGCCCCGATGAAAAAGATCACAGCTCCTGCAAGTCCAACTTTTCTGCAGCTGTAGTGCTGCAGCATGTGATTTGATACCAGACCAGTACCGGAGAGAACAAAATTAAACACCGCATTGGTCATGGTTGTTCCAAACGTTTCATCACCGATTGTTTTCAGAAATCCACCAAATATCATTCCAAACACTCCAACTGGAACAATTGTCACGCTCTAAAAGTAAGTGTGATTAACGTGTCAGGTATATAATGATATCTTACAAAAAATGTTGTGATGGCCAAGGCAACCATGTACCCCCAACCACCTTCGGGGGGCAGCAATTCGTAACGCCTGCCATATTTATCTCGTTGAATCTCTGGCGTGTCATTTACTGTAACCATTTCGGAAACGAAAACAGCACACGACCGCAATCTGCGATGTCTATCTCATTATTACCGAGCGGTGTAAGTAATATTTTCGTCTTACATATTCAAATATCAGTTTTATCTCTCGACGTAATTAAGCACACATTGCGTAGAAATAGATTTATGAATCGTGCTTTGTTTGAATACTGCGACAAAGTGTCATCGCAAGGAAAACGGGAAATCCTTGCAGTTGAAATTTTTAGATTTGTTTATTATCACGTGCGCGAAACAAGTTCAACGTAGAAACGTCGCAAGACGAAGACGAAGTGAAAATACCGGAAAAGTATGAATGTTGTTGTGCGTAATGAGAAAATAAGTAAATGGATCACTTCCTAATTGATTGAATTGTGGTTGGCGGTGCTGGGATCTAAGAAATTGGTTGTATTTTTAGATTTGCGTTGCAAAACGAAGGAAATTGTTTTTCATGATCAGGTTTAATTGGACATTTAACTGATGACTCTAATTGATGACTTTTGGTTCGAGTTTTATGGATTTTAATTCTTTAAGAGTTTCTGTGTTTTAAGACACGTAATTAATACGTAGAACGTAGATTACTACTATTGTTTACATGTGTTATTAGTACACAAGTTGAAAATTAAGTGTTTTAGTGGAACAATTCTTTAGAATTTGATTGGAACTTTAAATAAATTGTAAATTGCAAGATTGAATAGTCATATTCTTGGACAGTACAAATATTTTATTCTGTTTTTATGTTTATAATACACATTGTTAAAACTCGTCAATAACAATTCAATTTGTCTGAAAACATAGTCACTACAATACACATTGAGAAACAAACTCGTGTGCAATTGCAATCAATCGCAAAACCTTCCTATCTTAAAACAGTGATATCGGTCGACAATTATTGGAACATGCAGTCAACAAATTAAAACGTTAGGACACCCTACACGCTATAACAATAGTCGTTTCGTTCATCATTCTCATCTCATTACGTCGATTAATTCTATAATACAATCATCACTTACACTAACAGGGTAGAATATTGTTATCGAGTCGGGATTGTAAAGTAAAGACTATATACAATGAAAACTGCTAAAAATATTTAGGTACATTTTACATATATATTTCAATATATCTCGTCACAATCCTTCAATTTTGTTCATTTTGAAATTACTTGCTGCAATTTATTTCACCTTCTCGGTTATGAATCAAACTGTTTTTCATCTTTTCTCATCATCAAGTAATATTATGTAGATAGATATAATATTTTAATAATATGTATACATTTTTGTTTGTTTATATTTCATTATTAGAACACTTTCTCACAGATTCAGTCTTGTAAAACAGCTGCTTAATATCACACGTTGAAAGTGCAAAAAGGTTTCCAAATTGTTTAGTGTCACGAAACAAGAATCAAACACGTAAAAACCAAATCGAATCGGGTACCTCATCATTATGACCCTGTTCAAACTACTTAAATTAACAATTGTTCATCTAACTTAATGGTAAATTGAGTGAATCTCGTGAAATTCGATTTATAACGCAGGACATGATGCATGTGGGCATGTAACACTGGTTTGCTTAACGCCCGGTGTCCGAACACTCGGTGTACAAAATACATAATACTAGTTGATAGTTGTTGTATGATTTTACCCTGATGCTGATACATTAATATACGTTTTGGAGTCAAATAGGTACACCTAAAGAACAAGCGTTCAATATCAACGCTTGTTCTTTACGTATTCCATCAGTATATTTCGTATGCTAGTTCGTAAATGTTTGTTTTTGGCCACGTTTACATCTCCAATTGCCTGTATCAACACTCTCTCTCAAACGCAGAACACAATCAACACAATGATATCTAGAAGGTGTGTTTGTGTTTGGAACAAAATCAAGTTACTTTTCGTTAATTATATAAATATATGTTACCTCTGGTTACAATTACTATTATTCACTAGCCTCTAGATAGCTTGATCAAGTAATCGAAATGAATAATCACCGACTTCGTTAGATATACATCTCACATTGACGTTTCCTCTACAAACTGTTTGCTATTCAACTACAATTCATCCATTTTGTGTTTATTTAAATTTAATTTGCTTTTCATTAATACTTTTCGTTTTGATTCGTATTAATTCTAAGGATTTTTTTGTATGTATTGAACAAACGTATCGTCTAAATGTCCGTTTGTCATGTGGTGGTATCGGAATCTGTTTCCTCGTTCGATCTGGACTTCCAATACCAGTAAATGTATTCGATGCTCCAGGCCAGCACGCACATCATGATGAGAAACGTTTGCGAGTGGAGGCAGATCGGATAACTGTCGGTGGAATCACGAATAATGCCTGTAATTGAATAAATTATTCGTCAGAATGTTTTTTTTATGAATTTCGTTCATGGGGCTTACCTAGAATTGGTCCAAAAGTGACAACAAAAAGTCCTTTGCCCACCATGTGCAGACCGAATGCAGCCGGCAGTTTCTCAAGCGTGGAGTACTCAGAGATAGTAATGGTAAAGTTGATCAAAGCGGCACCACGGAAGAAGCCGCAAATGACCATCCATACCATAATCCACTTGAATTCAACCTGTTCCGCCAGGACTGCGAACAATAGAGACATAAATTAGATTGATTTTGGGAAGGTGACGGGGCCTGGCTCGTATAAGTGCGTCTCAAAACGAAAAAGCTCGCTCACGTTCATGACTGACTGACGTAACGAAATGATAAAACTAATCTTCCATAGAATTCGTAATGAATTAATCAATAAAGGACTTGCAAAAGAAGTGAGGTATCCTTCCAGCTGTGTGCGCGCGTCTCACCCTCTTGGATTCTTTGGTCTTTAAATGCAATTTTTATAAAGGAAAAATCAGAAATAAAACGTAAATATTCACTTTGACCTGTTTCTTACTGGATAAGCTTACAACTCTATTATTCGGTAGTGTGTGTTTACCTAGTTAAGGCTCCTTTGGCTGCCAACAAAAAGTCATAAGATATTAGAATATACATGACCATAATAAATCATAATTGTTTTTCAACGAGAACAGATATTAAAAAGAAGAAAATAGGAAATTAACATGAAGCCCGTGTATTTGACATTTTGAGTTTGAAGACTGTTGTAAACTATGTAACAGAAACTTAATGAACTATAACTAAAACGAAACGCAACACAACGCAGGATCTCAGTTGGTCGAGCAAGAGCAAGGGCTGTAAGAGACTTGGTTATTGTTAATATTAGAATAACCAATGTGTTTATTCTGTAATTATTACAACGATGTCATTTATCATCATTGGTTATTCTGTTTGTATGAATTAAAAAGTGAACTTACTTGAACGACAAATGCTCAAAATAAAAATGCCAGTCATGAAGAGTGTTCTTTTGGTGATGTTGACTCGGTCGCAGATGGGTGGCAGGACCAAACGAGCAATGATATCCGTAAATGCCTGGACGGAAAGGAACCAGGCAACCGTGCTTTGCCCGAAGTTCAGTTTGGCGAGAAAGAATGGCGTCACCAGTTTGAAATTCTGTTCGGCCACGTAGAAGATCGACAATCCAAAAATAAGATTCAAGAAAACCGGGTCTTTCAAAAGATCTAAGTCCATAACCGTTACTATCTTCATCCATATCGAGACTTTCTTTTCCTCGGGTACTTTTATTGGGTCTTTGGGTAGCGAGAACTCCCGAAAAACTTTACTCTGTGAATTTAATTGAACTCCAGGATAACTCATGTTTCTACGCATATGTAAACCATCACCACCAACTTGTGAATATGTTGACGGTCTTCTTTCCGCATCAACCTAAAAACAATCAGTTAAAAATATTATTAATACAGATGATAAAAACAAAAATTACTTGAAGTTGGAGTTGTAAACTTGAACCAGTAAAGTCAAGCCGAGAGTAGCTGGACATTATTGATTCTTTGGAGTCCCTGCGGCGCTGCTTGGAGACGAAACTCATTGTAGAAAAGTTTCTTGGGAAGGTCGACTTGCGCGTCAGATTGGGAAGATTTACAGACGATTGCTTTTCGAAGTCTTCTAGCGCTTTGACGGTTTTGTTCTTGATGAGAGTCTGGTCTTCGTGGAGTTCACTCTCCTCGTCGTCGGTCTCTTTGATCGTCTCCATTTCCTGTTGACAAAACGCACAAATTCAATTAAACTTTCAAAGTCACACAAACAATCCATAAACAACGAAACTTATTTAAATTTATTAATACCTCAGTTGATGAGAAATAGAAGGATATTCCTGCCAGCTTTACAACACCAACAATAACATTGTGTTAACATTACAAGCAAAGGATGTGTCATGGAAGGAAACATATATTTATTAGATTAATATGATATTACCTGATGATAAGTGCCTTCTTCAGGATCGACGGGCTTTTCGATGAAATGCCATTTTGCTGGTTGAAGCAGCATAGATCCTACAAGACCATTTAACGCCACTGCGCCAATAATCAAGATGGTGCCACGGAACTTGTACTCGTTGAGAAGCAAACTCACTGCCTGCGGCATAAGCATCATTCCCAATGCGGTACCCGCGAGAGAAAAGCCCACTGCTTGACCACGCTTATTCACAAAGTAGTGATTCAATGCGACAAACGTCGAAGATGCAGTCAGTCCAACTCCGAGTCCTAGAGAAAATCATTACAATTTATTTCATCTATATGTAATGTGCAATGCAGGCTTTTATCCCTATTCAGGAAGCGACTGGCGGATCGATCAATGCAGGCGTGTCGCAACCAATGCCTGCAGCGACACCCGCAGTGCACTTAAACTATCTCAACTTATAAGAATTTTTACTAGTGGTGTTGTTTACGATTAACTTACCGTTGATAATACTGTATGTGATTAAGATGTGTGCCATGCTGTTGGCAGGATAAGTGGCGATGAGGCCGATGCCACAAAGCATGGATCCGACAAGGGAGACCTTGCGATAGGAAAAGGCACGGATTAGCGGGCCGACGAAGAGGCCGGAAAAATTAATCAGCGCGTCCAAAGTGCTCATAATCAGCGCTGAGCCAGTGGTGTAGACACCCAGGTCTGCCAGGAGATCGCCAAAGAGCAGACCGAATGATGGTTCTATTGATCTCGTACATAACTGAAATATACAAAAAGTAAAACTTTAAAAATTGTAATTTTATCATCTCCTAAGTAAGAAATCAGCTGTAGGGCACTCATCAAATGCTATTTATATAAAGATTCGAGTTATGTTTAATCAATGACGTAGTTGAGTGGCTAAAAATCAATTCAGTACACGTTCCCAAGTATTTTGTTGTACTTTGATTCATTTATTATGTGAGTCACTAGAAGTAAGTGGAAATTTTCAATTGAACTTTGACCAGCCGAATCCAAACCATTAATATAAATTACAAATTATATATTTTCCCTGATTGCAATATTATAACAATAATAGGATTTAAATATGTTTGCTTTTTGGGGTGATACCGAATGGTACAAAATAGTTTGTTTGTTGATTTTATGATTGGATACTTACGTTGACTATGCTAACCCCTATGACGGCAACCCACCCCCATCCCCCATCGGGAGGAACCATTTTCTTTTGTTCGACAAGCATTGTGCCGACCAACCTGCAATAAAACCAGAATTTCATTAAACATCTACAACAATCAATAAAACTGATTTAGGTTTTTGTGTTCTACAATTAATCACATGTCTATTGATATGAAAAAATATGATTACGAGTGTAATAATGACCTAGATAATGAAAGCACAGACTCGACGAGACTGACGTCGGATCGATGTCGTGGTTTATCTCTTTGCTTCAGACTACATAAAAAAGCGCAAACAATTCATTTCGTTCTCGGCTCAATAATCGTCGTAATCCGAGCGAACGAGTGCGTCAATGCAAATGATTAATAATTGAACCAGGATTCAAGTGTTTTTGACCTAATTTATCAAGCGCATCAAATTAAATCATGGTTCATTAATAAATCATTTTTTTCTACTTCCAGCGCCTGTTTTCCCCGGTTTTGAGACACAAAAAGTGGTATTTTAAATTTGTACGGCCAAAGCCGTGACTAAAGTTGCCTTCATTTGCCTTCGTTGCAATCAAAGCATGCGCAGCAGCAGCGCGTCAGCACTTGGTTTTTGCCGCGTGACACAGCATTTCTAACCTTAAATTTCTCAGTAGTGTGCGTGCGAATTTCGAAGATTTAAAATAAAAAGTTCAAATAGAAAAAATCAACGTAGGAATAAAGTGTAAGTAGAAACAATAGCGTAAGCATCACGTTGCTAAACATAATCAATCATCATTGATCAGTTAAATAAATGATTCTCGGTGCAATGTTATATTGACGATAACAAAGTTGTAAAATTATCATATCTCAACATTCATATATTATATGTAATAAATTGTGCAACTCAGCCTTACAGTCTGATAAAAGCTTTAATCAAAGAGCAATGAACCAACATCATCATGTGTTGGCGTCTCACATATAAGTGAATATGATTCATCTGAATAAAACTTATACCCGCATTCCTACAATAACTAATAATCAATTCTCTTCGGATTATTATCGTTTAGTCATGGATATCGGTTTGTAAGCAATTATGTTAATGTCAACATTATCTAAAAACAAGCACGCATGTTTAATAAATAGACTTAGGAAAATCAATTTCAGTGTAATCAAAAGAAGCACACCGCACGCGCCAAATAATAAACATTGACCGAGATGAATGTTTTCGTACGCCGACGAATTTGTAGCCAATTATTCAATTTCAAAAATGAAAAACTATAATGACTGATTTTAGTGTTTTTTGTAATCTGTGTCAAGTAGATTATACATTGGTGACTTATCATACCTACTATTTACTCGCCAAGGACGCGCGAATCTCAAACAATCAAACGAAACAATCAATGTTTAATAAACAACACACCTGATTACCGCTGACACATTGTCGAGTGGAAATTTTCATTGTAATAGTCTAGTTCACATAAATAAAACTATAACTCACTACTGCGCCGCGTGCCAAACACCTACAAATCACACCTACACACGTTTTAGTGTTTGGGTTTAAGTATTCATGTTTTTTATCTGGCATTGACACTCGACGGGCCAAGATTCCATCCAAAGACTGAGCCAAGACTCGTTTTTTGGAACCGAGCCAAAACGGAAAAGTTTTTGCTAGTTTTTCGGTTTAAGGCGCAAAACAAAAGAAAAAACTGAGCAAAAAGTAGAAAATTAATTTACAAAATTTGTGGTACTAAGTTCGTTGAATTTTCGCCTACGCCGAGGCGAAAGAAAGACGTTAATGACTTGTTTTTTCATAGTTTGGAAACTTTTAGTTCAAAAAAACATGGCGATCAAGAAAATTCGCGATTCTAACGACCTCTAGTTGTGATATAAACTTTTTCTTGGGAAAAATTGAACAAATTAACGATTTTTTCGTTGCTTAGAGTCCTTTGACCCGTCCGAATGCATGTATCTAGGTTGTTAGCTACCCGAGTGGCTTCAACCCTTCGCGGAGCCCGCGCGTCATCCACCCTCTTCAAGTTCAAGGTGAAACGTCATGCGCACAGCGTATTTGGTGCACATAATAATTCGATACCTCCGACAATGGAAAATTCCGTCCGGCACACATTCGTTCCCCCTAACATCGCGCGCGCGCAATTCCGAGCTTTTCCATCAGATTTGCAGCCAATTTTCAAAATATTCAAGTCACAATTCTCGCAAATAACGCACAGAAATCATAGTTTAATGTCTATATTTCAACAGAATACAATTTGATACATTTTCAAGTCCAAATACATAAAACTAACGAATTTCAAACAGAAATTAAAATTAATCAAGTAAAATATTAAAACTACGCCACCAAAATTTTCCTACTTCTTCTAACAAAGAAACAAATAAGCTCAAGTCAAAAACAGAGCAAATTTCAGTTGAAATAAAAACTAGACGTAGTCACATGCTGATTTTGAATTGAATTATAGCTATTAGCGTTTAGATTACTAATAAAATATGTGTAAATATTGTATGTGCGGTTATACGTACTCATCTCACGCGGCGCGATCTTGCGCTGCGCTCTCGAACAACTGACGAACTGATCCAACTGATCGCGGCTGTGAATCGTGGTCTTGTTCTCGCCTCAGCTCGCGGGGTCGCCCGCTTTGCGCAAGAAGAAGCGCGCGGCACCGACCCGCGCCGCATCGATCCTGCGGGGGCGCTCACGTGACCGGCGGGCGCACGCGAGCAGGACGTGATCGCCAGCCGGGAGAACAGCTGATCACGCAAGCGGGAATATTTGCATACTCGTTGCTCTCTCAAGCATTACACAGGCCCGCATTAAGCTCCATTTTAAATATGTACTCGTATGCACAGAGCAGTTAAATGTTCGGTTATTTCTGACTGCAAAATATTGATGGAAATGCTTTGAAAGTCTAAAGTCAACAAACCACAAATTTACTTTTCTTCGTTTTGCTCTTCTTTTGTCTGCGTGTTAGTGCATTTGGTTGGGTTTACTTGACTTTACTTTATTTATGCCCAATACGACGAAAATAGATTCAGTCTCGTATGGAGAATGACGAAAATACGACGAACGAAAAGCAAATACATGAAGAGCGAAAAATACTTGATTAAATTCACATCCAGGATTCACCCACTTACATACCCCTAAAATTTACACTATGCCCTACATTCTTTTGAGATATCATGACATAAAAGAAAGAAATAATAGCAATAAACAACGCTATTAAGAAATTCCTTGAATTTTTAAAACCATTCGGTGCTTAACCGACTGTTTTCAACGTTTACTTACTCATTTTGGTGATAAAAGTGTATTGTGTTTGCTTATTTGACCGATGTTATCAAAGAGGATGCGTGACTAATTATAATCATAAATATATCATTAAGAGATATCCGCTGGTTAAACAAACACCAACTTAAACTGTAAATAAAACATTTTATTGAAATGTTTATCGTTGTGGTCAAAAATTAGTTTTAACGAGGTTTAATGCGTTTAATTTTTACTTTCTGAGTTACAAAAACAAGTTAATAAAACGTATTTGTAGCGAATTTTATAGAAAAATGTTTTTAAGGCATGAATTAATTATATTAGTTTATAGAAAGTTCAAGGAAACATTACAGAGCGTTTTAGTGTCTTTACTGTATCGTAACAAAGTTAATGTTACTTAGTATTACTATCTGCAATCATCATAATTATTTATTTTTCATTTACACAGTTATAAATTGTCTGGACTTTATAGCAAACCTTGAAGTTTTTATTGATGGGCCTAAATTTATTCAAACAGATTTCATTCTAAAGAAGTGTGAAAATTTCGTCAGTGGCATGACAAGTAGCATGTGAGTTGCTAATTGTAGTATAATTTATTATAATTGCAAAAATGCGCACTAATTTGATTAGAATGTGTATTACATCATTTCTAGCACGGGTTTCGGAACGTGTGTCGATGGCTAAAGCCTATCAGATTATTCTATAATATTGATTACACTTTAGGCGTGGCGAGTTTAAAAATAAAAACAATGATAATGTTGGATGTAGACATAGACACTCTTTGCGGTGACGTAGCGTCGTTAACTTCCTCGTAAGTAGGAACATATTCCAATAAACGTGCGCATACATAAAGTTTTATTGCAACGCGTGTAGTGTACTTGTACATTAAAGCGCATCGAACAAAAGTTTCAATGTTTTCCATTGCATAAATTCTGAATCAACAAATTCAAAACAAACTTAGATACAAGTACATACAATGACACCAAATTTCATTTAGATTTTATCCAAAAATGAGACATAATTTCATATTAAACAAACTTTGAGACAACTAAAGATTACATCATTTGTTGTTATGTGTTGAGGACTTGTTATAATTCGAAGCACGTAAAACTATTTATCACTTGAATACGACAAGTCTGGAATTCAATGTCTTCTAACAAATAACCATCACGGACGCCATTGAATGCGACAAACAATGGAACATTACACATTATTCACCATTGAACCAAAACCAAAACTTCAGCGTTCGTATTTTTTAGTTTAATTTTAAAATTTTTAAATGTTTAAAGGTATAACTGGGTTTTTCACGTGTTTCAGCTGTTTCTATACAAGTGTGTTTCGCTGAGTTTGGCTCGGTAGTCAGGTAAAAATAATTCCCTTTGTTGCGTTCGCCGGGTCGTCCCTTTGTCTACGCCACGCTGAGGAGGCCAGCGGTTTCAACAGTTCAAGACCGGAGCACAACCATGGCAAGGGCAAGGGTAAAAGACGCAAAAGAAAAGGGCCTTTAATTCGATATTTCCACTCCGTCCCCTTGCGGCAATTATGCCCGCCGTCGATTTGAAATTATAGTAGCAGCAACCGGTTCTCCTGACGACCAGTGGCGGCCTGAATTAGAATTCAGCTGGTGAGCATCGTCTTTGTTTACTTTCTCATCTGTTTCTGATAAATATAGCACAAAGCACGGAACATGTGCAGGATTTGAACCTAATTTGGTTTAGTCCTCCACCAAAACTTTTAAATAATTATAAATAACTCGAATCTGGTGCAAAAGAAACAATTTTCGAAGAATGTCTGCATTTAGTGACAATTTGCCAAAAAATAATTAAAAAGAAAATCACGAATTTTATGTTTTTTCAAAGAATTTTAATTTTAAGTTTAATTTAGGTTGATAAAATGATACACATGTTTTCATTTTGCGATTCCAATCGATATTTCATTGAAATTTATTTGTTTTGGTTGTCGATGTGTGTCAATGCTCGCGAAACGATTATATTTCCGCCGATCGCTCTCTAAATGGGAACATCACGCTTCGAACGCGTGCGAAATGTCCGGTCATGATCTAATTCGTGAATTTACAAATTGATTCGAGTGCATGAGCCACGAGATCAGCACGCCGCGCGCCTCCGAACAATTATTAATTAATTAAACATCAATTAAAACCTGTTTCGAGTGCAATGTGCGTATCAACACAACGCAACAATGACAATTTCTCTTGGTATAACAACAAAAAAAAAACTCGTTTTATTATTGCGCTTTTATTTAATCGAACACGATGTAACTTTCTGTCGTCGAAACAATAGTATCCTTCCTTGGAATCGCGCATCGTGATTCGCAAACTCGGTCAGAGCCATTCGCGCCGCGTAAGCGCATTTCGCGAATTGTTAGCGATAACTGCGCTAAAGTTACAAAACAATCGGCAAGCGCGTCAAAACAATGATGCAAAATTAAAATAACTTACCAATTATTGAAATAATAAACACTTTTCACTCACTTTTCAAACGTCAAATGTATTTAATACTAAATTAAGTTCTTGTGTATACTTTGCGGTGACATCTTGAGTTGTCGTTGTCGCACTCCCTTTCGATTGTGCACGTCGCACTGTCAACTTTGTAAGTGATAGCAAGCGCGTCGATTTTGAGTCGGCAAGCGCGATTGACGGTCGCTTTGCTACTGAACTCGGGCCGCACGCGGCGGAAAGCAAAAAGTAGGCGCAGGCTATAGATGCGGTAGGAGTTCACGGCGTGTGTTTTCATCGTGTCCATCATCGACTACGTCAAGAATGATCGCATTGACCGCTATCTCTGCATGGTATTCAAGAAGTGCAAATTTGAAAATATTTTTGAAAGGAAAAATTTCTTTGCATTTTGGCAATAAATTTAAAAGTAAAAAAATTATTTCTTCGATTTTTTCAAAATTTTATATTAAAATTCTGTTATACAATCACTTTTATTATCATTGATCATACATTGCACAACATTAATTATCGATAAATGTCTAATATTATCTGCGCGCATTTACGTACAAGTCTAGGTATTCTAATATCTACTGATAAGGCTTGCATTAATGTAATGTACTACTAAATGAACATATAAGAGTGACGAATACTAAAAAATGTAATAAAATGTTGCTATGCAGATTTAGCAAACAAACATCAAAAACAAATCATTGACGTCATGATTGTTGTGTGCAGAAGAATTTAACGATTGATTAGCGCCACTAACGCTGATAAAACGGACGTAGCAGCCGGAGAAAATAAAATTGTTAACACCTCCGACGCGTAAATTACCACATTCGTTGTGTGACACCTGCTGAAGAGGTCAATATGGATGAAAAAGACAATAACTTCATGCTAAACATATTTCTATCTAATTAACCGGCCGATTAAACCGGATTGACGCGTCGCGGTCGTTCATTGCTTTTGTACTTTGTGACGCATAAATATGCAAAGCGGCTGGCTATCCGATGGCCAAATGTGTCCACATGTGTGTTTAATGTTGGATTATTTATAAAAACATTTAAACATGAAACAAAATAAAGGATTCAGGATCCTTGAAAAAATTATTTGGGTTATTTGCGTTAAATTATAATTAAATTTACATATTTTAACGGCTTTTGTCTGTAATATACAGAATACATCGATGAAATGTAGAATAATGCAGGCATTAATCAACAATTAAATTTAAATAAATAAATGTTAGTTTGTTGTTAGGTAGGCAACCAAACATACACCACTGTATGGTTTGTAATCGAGCGACTCTCAAGGCTGGGAACGAAAATTTCGAAATTGTCCAGTGATAAAAATAATGACTACATAACGTGTGCACGCGAGCGATATTGTTGTTGATTCGAATTTCTAGCAGCGGTGGTGGGCGCGACGTACCATGCGGACGATGTGAATGACACAGCTGCTTTGTCAATGCTTTTATCTCAACAATTAACTCCGGCGCTTATGTGACAAACATGTTACTTTGTTCTTGCCTTCGCAACCACCGACATAACCTGGTGCGCGCCGTGCGACACATCGACTCAAATAAATCGCAGCTGCTGAATGGAACAAGACGTTATTTCGCCAGAAACATGAAGAAGGACGACAAATCCAACTCGTACGTGTCCCTAAACATTGGGAACACCAACAATAAAGCGACGATCGTCATCCGAAGACACAGCTCAGATTTACCACCCATCAAAATCAAAATTCCAAAGAATGACAAGCAAAGTGCCTATGCTAGATTGTTTGCACTCGCCAAGAAAGAAAAATGGAAATTGACTGGTAAATACACCATAAATAATTATTTAATTGTACCTTTTCATAATTGTGGTTGAATTATTCACAGGGGCTGTAGGGTTGTTAATTATTTCAAGTTCAGTGTCAATGGCAGTGCCATTCAGTTTAGGAAAAGTATTGGATATTATTTACAACAATCTTGGTGATGGCGAGAAAGCCAGGAGCCAACTTAATGCAGTGTGTGGCATTCTTGTGGGGGTGTTTTGTGTGGGGGCAATTTGTAATTTTGGGCGCGTGTACATTATGTCAACAGTAGGTGAGTTTACATATTTTAATCCTTGCTTTAGATAAGAGTATGTTAAATATTGACTTTCATCATTAACATACTTTTGCTGCTGGAATATTAATGATAAAATTGCTTTGAAGAAACAATTTTGTTATAATGTACTGTTTCACATTTATTCTGGTTCAATATTGTATTATCTTGAACAAAAATCAAGGACAAATATTGATTTGTCTATTCATTTAATGTTTTTATTGATAATGTTAGAAATATTATTGTTTAGGTTATAGAATGACACAAAGATTGCGGATGCAAGTCTTTTCATCAATACTTAAGCAAGAACAAGGCTTCTTTGACAAACGCACCACCGGCGAACTAGTCAATAGGTTATCAGCCGACACTCAAATCGTGGGCCAGGCTTTGTCGCAAAACATCTCAGATGGCTTACGATCAACTATTATGGTATTCGCTGGAACAGGCATGATGGTAGATGATTGATTATTCAAGTGACGGATATAAATCATAATTAAAATCATATTGTTTTAGTTTTACATGTCTTATGAATTAGCGTTTGTTGGTCTTGCAATAGTGCCGCCTGTGGCTGCTTTAGCTGTACTGTATGGTCGTTATGTACGTAAAATTTCAAAAAATGTCCAGGACGTACTCGCAGACGCCTCGCAAGTATCCGAAGAAAAAATTTCAAATATACGTACTGTCCGGACCTTTGGACAGGAGAATAAGGAAGTAGACTTGTACAAAAGTAAAATTGATAATGTACTTACAATGGGATATAAGGAATCGAAAGCACGAGCGTTTTTCTATGGAATGGTAATTTATTTAATACTCATTTTATGTTTGCTATGTAATTAGGGGTTTTTATAGACTGGTTTGAGCGGGAATATTATCATCATCTCAGTTTTGTATTATGGTGGTGTTATGGTTTCATCTCAGACCATAACAGTGGGAAATCTTTCTTCGTTTTTACTTTACGCCGCATACATTGGTGTATCTGTTGGTGGATTGTCGAGTTTCTATTCAGAATTGAACAAATCGATTGGCGCAGCGTCACGTTTATGGGAATTGATTGATCGTGAACCTTGTATACCAATACATGGTAAGTCTAAAGGTTTATTTATTTAACCGTGGCTAAGCGCAACACATAATTTATATTTACATGAATGTTTAATCATGTAAATCGATTTATAGGTGGTTTGTCACCAGTACAAACGCCTCAGGGACAAATTGAATTTAAGGGCATAAAATTCGCGTATCCTTCACGACCAGATATCAATATATTTCAGAATTTAAATTTAAAATTATCACCTGGGCGTACTGTAGCAGTGGTAGGGCCTAGCGGATCCGGGAAGTCGACAATTGCAGCTTTGCTGTTGCGACTCTACGATCCTGATGGCGGTCAAGTTATTCTCGACGATAATAATATAAAAGACTTGGACCCTAACTGGTTGAGGAAGAATATTGGAACTGTCAGTCAAGTAAGTCCATAGTTCCCTAGACAATTTTTTGTTATAGATAATAAATGGCCGTTTTGCTTGTTCAGGAACCTATTCTATTTACAACAAGCATTAAAGATAATATTTTATATGGTGCTGACAATCCAGAGCTTATAACTGACGAGCAGTTCCTACAAGTTGCTAGGGAAGCAAACGTCGAGGAATTTGTAAACAAACTTCCTGAAGGCTACAATACTCTTGTAGGGGAAAGAGGGGTAATGTTGAGTGGGGGCAAAAGCAACGTGTAGCTATCGCACGTGCCCTGATTAAAAATCCCACAATTTTGTTGTTGGATGAAGCTACAAGGTAAAAACAATCTGGTGTACAAATATTAAAAAGGGTAAATCCACAGCTCATCGATTTATTTCAGTGCTTTAGATGCACAGTCAGAGTTCCTAGTCCAAGAAGCCCTTGAACGAATAATGAAGAACCGCACGGTGTTAACAATCGCACATCGTTTGTCGACGATACAAAATGCCGATACTATCGCCGTGCTGGATAACGGCGAGATTGTCGAACAAGGCTCCTATACTGAGCTATTATCGTTGGCGAATGGTAAGTTTAGGGAATTGATTAAACACCAAACGTTTAATGCAGTCACACCGGATGTCGCTGAGGCGGTGGCTTCCTCCAGCGGGTGCTCGACGGAACAAAATTCAGTACAAGACATGCCAAAGGTGATACCCACTTAGGGCAATAGGTAATGTTTAGTTTTTTTTTTCTTTGTTTTGACTAGGAACAAAATTTATATACAGTTTACATATATTTTATGGTTTATATTAAAAATTAATATATGGTGAGTACACTATGAGGGAACTGCCAATTAGGGGAAGGAAAATACGAACTTCTAGGTCACCAGATCTCTAAAATATAATTTGCTTACGTTTATTTTGTATGAAAATCTTAACAATTTCTTAAAAACAGTGCTGAAGTTTTATCTCGGAAAATATAAGCAAGAAAACTTCCCCTAAAACTTAGATGAAAAAGAAGTACCTTAACAATAAAAGCAATTATGTACACAATATATAATCAGCGGTGTTCTCCGTGATTTGTAAAGTATATAATTATTTGTTGGCTTCAAGATATGCCGTCTTAAGTTGCCTCCGCAGTATCTTCCCCGAAGGATTCTTTGGAACTGCTTGGATCACTTCAATTCCTCCTTCAAGCCGCTTGTACTCTGCAACTTTTTTATTCACGTACTCATTGAGTGCGTCAATATTGATTTGTTTGTTAGCTTTGGGCACAACATAGGCTCGTGGAACTTCACCGGAAATAACATGCGGGATTCCAATGACAGCAGCATCACCCACATCGGGATGGTCCCTGAGGATCTCTTCTAATTCTGCTGGAGGCACCTGCAAGCCTTTGACTTTGATCAGTTCCTTGATGCGATCCGTAACGAAAAAGTTGCGGTTCTCGTCGTAATAAAACATATCTCCCGTGCGCAGCCAGCCATCAATCAAGGTTTCTTCTGTCTCCTTAGGGCGATTGTGATAACGCTCCATTACATTACCGCCTTTGATGTAGCACTCGCCGGTTTGATTGGGACCAAGAGGTTCGCCATTGGGGTCATCTACTGGGAGAATCTTCACCATTGTTGACGGTAATATCTTACCTGTGGAACCATGAGGGGTGTTTTCACGGTGGGGTTGGATGAAAACTGCTGGGGAAGATTCTGATAATCCGTAACCTAAATGATAAAAAATGTAGAAGATTTAGCAGTTAGTAAGTAAGAAAAAATTACCTTGAATAACTTTAATGTTAGTATCAGCTTTCTGTTGGAATTTGATAATATCCAACGCGCCGAGAGGTGCGGCCCCTGATATAGACACTCTAACACTTTCCAAGTGTTTCTTGGTGATCATTGGATGTGCATATAAGAATATAACTAAAAAATTCAAAATTTCAAACATAGAGTAGAGGAGATAATATCACCTTCACTCACCAATAGGTGGTACCACAAATAGCACAGTCGGCTTGTGTTGCAATAAAACTTTCGCATATAATTCCGGTATGAATTGTGTCATTGTGACGATTTTCGCTCCCACGTGCATCGACGCACACGAAAGACTAGTGAAGCCGTAGATGTGGAAGAACGGCAAGATGGCCGGCACAATGTCTTGCTTATCGCCTTGTGTCTGCTCTAACATATTAATATCAGGAGCATGGACCTGCATGACATTAGTGAGCAAATTTCTGTGCGAGAGGCACACGCCTTTTGGCATTCCAGTCGTCCCGCTAGAGTAAGGCATCAACGCAATGCTGCTCATATCGAAGTCTTGCAAATCCGGTAGATCGATCACACTGTCTGCAAGCTCGTTGAAACTGATAGTGCCTTCCGGTGTACGCGTTTCCGGCTGTAATTTACAACATTACAGTTTATGAAGTAAAATAAATCTATTGCATTATCGCGATTTTTGAAAGTAGAGACCTTGAACAAAATTAACTATAATTGCTGTTACTTGCAAATACATGAAAATCACGTACTGCCTGCAGTTATGATTTAGTAGGGTTTTATGATTATTATTTAGTTAGTTATGTCGAGTATGTGCGTGACGTGCATGTTGAATTACCTTGTTGTTGATAGTAATCACGGGCATTGAAGTTCCGATTGCCGATTTAACAACCGGGTAAAGTTCAGATAGAGTGATGAGAATTTTTGCCCCACTGTCATTCAGTTGCCGTGTTATTTCCTCTTAAAAAATTAAACATTAAAATTAGATTATATATTATGATCGTTAAATTAAATAATACAGTTCAATTAACGCGGAACAGGTTTTAAAATAAGCAAATTACTCGAAAAAACGATGTACTTTGACCACGTGACGTCTTCGGTTCTATTTTCGCTCAAAATCAATTTAAAAATAGAAATAATTGACCCAAACATGTCTGCATATAATCTATAGTCACAATACAACAAATTGTTATTCAATTTATATCTGTCACTCGTTACAAAACGATAAGTTGTTTGATATTATTGAGGTACGTTAGATATCGGCAGACAATATTTTTGGTAAGAAGCTAGACATTGGTAAACATTCAAATTTACAGTCGTAAATCTATTAAACGAGTTGTTTACACTTCAGTGTGGCACAGTGCGTCTCATGTAAAGATTTAATACATATAATTCTTTGGAGACACTGGCAGACACCTTAACTTGGAATGTAAATATATATTACTATATTCAGTAGACATTGGAGCATTTGAAAACAAGTTTTGATCGTGCAGTTTAAAAATACGAGAATATGCGCGATGTGAATGTGTTTCGCGTTAACTGTTCACATGTTTTGCTCCATGTGTTTTTTATAGCAATTCATATGCATTTAAAAACACGCGAATCGACTAATGAATAACTTGTACAAGTTAATCAACGTTGAAACGATGGTATGAAAGTTGTAGACTTTGGACTTTGACTTCTTCAGTTAACTGTGACTTTGACTTCGAGAGTTGATTGACCTACTAATGTGCAAATGCAAGTTCAAGTTCTACGCGTTTCACAACTTATAAGATAAAATATTTAAATATCCACTGCGAAAATTGAAATACAATAATAGTGTCATATTTTACCTGGAGTGTAAATTGGATTCATAGTTGTTAAAACGCCTCCACCCGCCAATGTGCCCATCACAGCGATAGGGAACTCTGGCACATTTGGCAGCAGTACGCAGATAACATCATTCCGTTGAATCTTCAGTTTTTTACGCAGGGCGCGTCCGAAATTTCGCGATTTATTTACCATATCATCATACGAATACGAACGGCCCGTTACACTGCATTCCTATAAAAAATATCACATTTTATCTTTTAAATATTTTCATAACATCGAAGCGGGAATAAATGATGTGTCATTATGTGTTAAACTATGGCATGAAGTAATCATTGTTATCGCCGTGACTCTACTACAGATATGCAAATTTTACGATACTGTTCTACTGTGTGGTCTGGCCACTGCTGTGAATGTAAACAAAAATTGTTTACTGTCGCAACTTAATCTCTGCTACACATCTGTTACACAATTACAGTTTCATATATCCAACTAATTACGAATTAAGCAAATTTGTTTATTCATGTAATATGAAAATGAAACAAGATTTCAAATAATTAAGTTAGCATTGTTGTCCTATTGAACTTCAAATTCAAAAATCTATTAGCAAGTGATCATGAAACAGTTATAAAGTTCAAGTAGTGCTTGAAAATTATTTGTGATGTGTTTTCCGTACAAACAAATTTTTTATTAGGTTCTATTTATAATTTTTCGGGAAGTAAATAGCAAGATTAATCAGGATGTTCTCTCCTTAACGTATAAGTGTCAGATGATGAACTGTCGACTTTAACCCCATGTGCTATGAGCGTCACAGCACGATTATCAAATTGCTGTACGCACACCCACACGAGCGTAATTATTTCGCACATGAATTTCATGAACAATGTGTTACAACACATAATCAGATTAAATTGCGAACAAGTTTCGTTTGTTTACGGTGTTTTAACGAGACTCATTAAAAAGAAAATATTTAAATAATTTAATCATAGCAATATTATTATGTATGAAGAATGATATTACACATGAATTAAGAATGAAGAAACAAAAATGAAAAATAATTACTCACAATACAAATTTTCTTTCCATACTGCGCGATTTGGTCAAACATGAATTCGTGCAAGGGCATTTCAGGTACGACGATGTCCGGATAGTCCGACTTGAGCACGTTCGGATGCATGTCGTTGTGGAGGCGTTGGTTGCATTGTGGCTGCACGCTGTTTGAGAGTTGCCGCGCAATGCCGGGATGAAGACGCAGTGATCGCGTTAGTTGTCTCGCAACAAACCCTGCCATAATGTTGTCTTCGAAATAAACGAAAGAGAACTCAAAGAAAAAATTAACTGATGTTGCGTTAAGTTGACTTAAAACAGTTTAGATTGTGGTAGTTTTCGTTTTATGCGTTTGATTGTGCGAGGCGTGAGCGCGCAAAGCCGTCCAACGACTGCGAGTTGCGACTGACGAGTCGACGAGCCTCCCGTTTCGCCCAACCCACTAAAGTCTCGTTTTGTGGGCTTGGAGATGCGCCTCAAGCCTGCTAAGTATAGACCGCTTAAGTGAATGTTGTTCGAGCATCATTTATATGATTATGGTATCTCTATCACCCAGAAGTCGTTGCGATTATCAATAAACGCCATACATTTTTATTTGCAAGAAATTTTCTGGGTCTTTAAAATTCGTAGGGTATTTTTCAGAATTAATAACTATTTGATATCTTGATTACTAGTATATATTTTATTTCTTTACAATATTTCGTTGAATTTGATTTTTGCGCTCATTATTAACTTGCTAAATAATTTACGATTTTAAACTAGGCAACTTTTCGTTCGTCTGCCTGGAAATATAACTTGATCGGGCTGAAACAATGGAAAGAAACTGAATGAAAAAATTCTTTCAATTTATAAACCATTTTCATGATAAAACAAAAATATTAATCTTCCCAATTAATATTTAACGTCTGTCTGCGGATCACAAATAAATTTATTCGGCTATTAAAATATTTCAAAATTGAGCCAACAGTGAATGAAATTGATGATAAAGTTGAGAATAAATATTTTGATAATATGGGTATTTAAACCCGCGATGCGATGCCAAAAATCATTCAAGTTTTGTAGCGTTTCTTCTCTTTTATACTTTTATATATAAAATAAAACAGTGAAAAATGGTTAGGGTTTCATTGCTGGCACTACTTTTTGTAGTTTTGTTAAATTCGCAAAGTGAAGCCTACGGTATGAATTAAATAAAACAATAAATAATTAAATACAAAAATACTAATACATTACTTAGGCCACGTGGGTCATACTCACTCCAAAATAGTCAGCACCAGACGAGACTGGATCTTAGAAGATGAAGTACAGAATGAATTACTTATGGATGGCAGGTTGGAGGATGACATTATAATCGAAGAGGTTTTTGAACATATGGGTAATTATAGGAATTACGACGATAGCGAAAGATATGACTGTGGCAATAATTTGTTTGCTGACTATGCAACCGAGGCAATTTTTACGCGTTTGGAAAAGAAACCAAATACAAGTATGATGTTTATCTCTATTAATCACAGTTTAGTCTAATTTTAAAATTACAGACATTGCTAAAAACGTAATCATTTTCGTTGCTGAAAACACACCACTCTCGGCTGTAAGACAAGCCAGAAAATATTCTAATGTTAAATGTCACAATAAGATGTACCCTGGTAACCAATGTCTTCTGCAAAAGCATTTCTATGACATTGCTTTAGTCAAAGTAAGTTTAGTCCTAAACAACGTTTGATCGTTAAAAATTTAAATATTTCTGACTCTACCAGACTGAATGCTTTGATGGTGTTGAAGCAAACCCTGCCTGCTCTGCTACAGCCCTTTTCGCTGGTGTGAAAGCCAACAGCAACACCATTGGTGTCTCACCTGAAATGAATCACTGTCCGAATCAATTCGAGCATTCCTATGATTACAAACTTCCTTCAATCGCTGCCTGGGCTCAGAATTCCGGTAAAAGAACAGGTCTAGTTACAACATCTCCAGTGACCAGTGCGTCAGTTGCTCCACTCTATGCCCATACCTGCAATGGTTTCTGGGAGTCCGATGCTGACCTACCATATCATCATGGACACTTCCGAAACGCCGATGTAGCTGCTCAACTTATGCATAGCGAGACAGGGAAAAATCTAAATGTTATTCTGGGAGGTGGCCGCAGTAACTTTCTTCCCTTTAATAAAGAAGGTGGATCTAGGTTGGATCGTCGTAATTTGGTCAAGGATTGGGCACGATCAAAGCGCTCTGCTGGAGAATACGCCTATATTGAAACCGTGGATGAACTTTGGGAGGTCTGCCGCTACACAGATTACATCTTGGGTCTTTTCAACGATGGGGCATTGAACGCCTGTGAAGACCCCAGCATTGCCGATCTTACTGAGGTTGCCATTAAACTCTTACACAGGCCACACGAGGAAGAAGGTTATGTTTTGTTTGTGCAACATGCTAATCCACGTGTGTTTGGCAATGAATTGGATGCAGCTGAAGCACAAATTGATAATACAATTGAAATTATAAAGGCTGTTAGGGTTGCTATTGATCAGACCAGCGAGGAAGACACTTTGATTATATTCACTTCTGATTATGCTGCTAGGAATCCGGATATTGCTGAAATTTATGATGAAAATGTATCTTCCACTTCGGAAGGAACTTCCTCAGATACGTCGTATGATAGCTCTTTCAGATTCTCCAGCTCATCTAAATCATCTTATGAATCTGATTCGTACTCCAGTCTGGAAGATATTCCTTCTGTTGGTAAGTGTGACATTCGGGAGACTGGTGAAGATGCTTTCTTGTTTGCTCGTGGCCCTTGGTCGCATCTTTTCGGTAGCGTTATCGAGCAATACTGGATTCCACATTTTGCCGCCTTTGCTTCATGCATTGGCGAAGGAGCACAAGTATGTGATCTGGCGTAAAATATTTATTTATCTCTAAAATTTTTAATAGCCACATATTTATATTTTCTAATACATATAGTCATACAGCTGGGGAGAATATAATATAAGATGCTTTGTATTATTTTACACAAAATCGTTTCAAAATAGAATCGTACCAAATTTTATACATCACCCGAACTTTCTGATTGGCAACAATAACAAGCAAAAATATAACAAATCCTTGCATGGAGGTTGTAATAGAAAATAAATAGATCATCACTGAACTCTCAAAGATGAAAGCTAATAACCCAAACCACCACGTGATACCTAAAGTAAAGAACAATTGTCCAAAGAGGCGTAGTTTCAATACAAGATCAGAGGTGGCATTTGACTTTTTAACTTTCTCCTTCTTGAAATACAAGACATAAATGATCCACGCATATATTCCACCGTTGCATAAGATTGCTAAGAGACCTGGAACTAGCAAGGAAAATATTAAAGCACCTCCTTCAGGATAGCAGATATTTATAGCTTCCACGCTATTCCTACTATAAGTATTCACATCCACCCCTAATGTGATTGCAACAATGATCAGCGGCAGACCATAAGTGAACAACATAACCCACTTGGTATCAAAAGATCTAGTATTGAACACGACCACAAAAAGCTGTAATTGTTTCTCGGCTACCACAACCATCCAGCAAAATTGCGATAAAACTATAAAATGCAACATCACTCCAACCACTACACATCCTGTCGAGTTGGAACTTACATCAGCTATATTAGTACTGATGAAAAGAAGCACGGTTTGCAGCAACAATACAAAGCAAAAGTTCAAAATACGAATATGATTTAAACCCCACGAAGGAAAGATGATAGCTGTGAAGAAAATAGCAAGAATGCCAAGGCAGGAGAAGATACACTCGATTAAAGTCAGCACTGATAGAATTTGTTCGCTCAGAGGGTTGAGAATTTCATGTGTCAGTAACAGTTGTCCAAAATGGGTGGTGTGGTTGTAACTGCAGATCGTGTATTTGCTCCAGTGCGAATCTGACTTAGAATTTGTGCTGGCCAACCAACTGCCTTTGATTAAATGACCGTAATGCCACAGAGCACATTCTTCTTTAACAGTTGAAGATTCAAGCGATGGGAATATTATAATAATTTCTACCTCGGTTTGTAAAAATAATTCATCAGGCACGAGGATTCCAAAAACACGTTTGTACACATCATGCTCGTCGCTTGTACCGTTTGGTGGTTCATTGAACAACACAGAGTTTTGAAATAGTGTAATCGAAGTAGTTTCTGAATCACTTTCGGTATTTATCTCATTTTCGTCAATATTTTCCAAGGTATAGTTTATATATGCAACAACTTCCCAATTTTCCAATTCAAGGAGTTCATCCATCGTGAGTTTTTTTATCGATTTGATTTCATTTTGCATTGTTAATCCCATACCTCGATACTCAGATGTATTTTTCATAATGAAAGTCACGATGTTTGGAAATTCAATTTGTTGTTCGTTTTCTTCTAAATTGTAAGACGACAATACACTATCGATATTGTCTAAGATTGAATCGGTTGCATTGAATTCGGTTTGTGCTTCTTCTAAAATATTCCAATTTATTTCCATCACTACATTGATGGTTTCTAGAAAATCTTCTTCTATTACGTAATCAACAACATTGTTTAATATATTTGCAATTTTATTCAAGTCCCCTGCGCTAAAAGGGTACTCTTTGTCTTGCACGATTTGTGTAAGATTTGTTAGAATTTCGGTAGGGTCTGCAGTAGATGTTTCCAGATCAGCCAGGTCTGTGGTACGATTTCTTTCATAACTGTAACACTCTGGTACTGGCGAGAATCGGGCGCCGTTGGTATGATCTTCCACGCAAGTGATTTTTACCCTATATCCGTCCACATCAGAGCAATTTGTTGTTGCCACGTTGTTGACAAGAGTTTCCGCAAAATATAACGTATGTCCATTTTGAGACACCGAGAAAGCTTCACAGAAGTTTAGGCTGTAGAGTCTCGGATTTAAATGTTCGGCTTCATTTATAAACTTTTCTTTTGTTCTGTCAAATATCTCCCTCTCGATGTCAAACTTGTTTAATACGATATTAATTTGGTAAGTTTGATCAATTTTAATGACCTCGTCTTCAACAACTAAATTCATCCGAGTTAATGGTAAAATCGTGTAATGAATGATTGCTTCCACCTCCGTAGTACACTCCGAGATTAATTTAGTGCATGTTATTTGAAGAATTAAGTACTTTATTAGTCCAAATACAGAAACCTTGTTGCTTAAAATGCTTTTTGAAGTGTCGGCAATGTAAAATATTTCACATTGCCATACCCCCGGAGAAATCCATTCTTTATTAGATTCAAACCGCAATTTTAGAACGCCCATATTTTCATGAGAGTTACAAAATATTCCAAAATCATCAGATATTTGAAACATACCTTCTGGATTCTTCACATCAACGAGAAACTCATTATTCTGAGGGTTGTACCATAATTGAATCGAGGGTTTTTCCAACTCCCAGTACGTTTCGCACATTGTACATCCCGGATCTATTTCTGAAATGGCCCAACCAGGAGATTGTATGTTTACCCATATTATAAAATATGTACTTGGGTCGGCCAGAAGAAACTCTGCTAAACTCGGAACCCAGAACGTGTTGTTGACCTGAAGCTGGTTGGCCGACCAAACGAGAACGCCATCTGAATTTATTTCAATACCTATGCCACAGTCACGTTTGGCTAATGGATGCGTCGATGGGGTTGGGCACATGCTTGGGCAGATACATGTTATACCATTCAAGTACGGTTTAGGAGATGTTAAACATTCCGAATTTTTCTTGCTGCAGAAATCTGGGTATGTGAAGTTGTATTCTAACAGCACTTCTTGCAAGCAAACATGGTATCTCTGTAAGTTACAGTCTGTGCTGTAATGATTTTTGTACAATGACAGACAGGTTTGATTTTGCAAGTCTTTGGTGGAGTCGAATACTTCTAATAAGTCTATTGGTTCCTCGATATATGAAGCATAGTAATAGAAGAGCGAAGGCATTACAAAATCGCCCACTCCTCCATTCACATCATTTCGTTTCCATGGTAACCATATAGGATATGTACCACTAAGAAGTTCATACCATTGTTTAGATGCCGTTTGCAATAACTGGGTGTTTGGGCATTTCATTGAAGAGTTATATTTCTGTGTAGTGTCGGTCAATAAATAACAAATGAATTGTTCATTATGTAGGTTCGCTAATGTATATCCTTCCATGCATGATTCATTCCTTTGAATACTACGACACTCGGGTTGTGGTGTTTCAAATTGGCCAGTTAGGAAGTTGCATACCCTTAATGCAACAAATCCTTTTTCGTTGATACAAACTGGTTGTGAATAGACGGGCTTGTATGGGTCGAGCGGAGAAGACGCCACTGATGGTCTTGATGGTGCAAACCAGATAATCGTCTCATTATTAACAATTTGTTTTTCTAAACATTCCTGGAAATTTGGGCAATTATTTAAAAGAATTAATTGCTTATATAATCAGTTACCAAACAATTGCAAAATGACACTAAGAACAATAACAGAAAATATTGAAGCACCAAATATGTTGGATTTTCCATTTTCGGTCGTGGAACAGTAACAAATCCTCGTATTGTTGCTCTGATTTTATAGCCATGCTGCTTAAATGAAAAAGATAATCTAGGCCGTATGTTAAACATAATCATTGATCAAATTAATTTATTTTTTGGGTTTAGAAGTTAGAGCAATATGCCTATATAATTATTGTGATTAATTAGATTGCAAATAAGCTACGCAACACAATCACAAAATTAAATTTATTAAATCTATTACTGTGGTGTGAGTGACTTGCTGATTAACAAAATTAACTTGATTTTTAGTAATTTTAATTTATTTTTATCTTTAATTTAGCCATTCCCCATTGTTGTCGATCAATATACACCTGAATTATGAATGACCTCTATCCAAGAATATTTGGGTTGTGGTGATAATGTTGTGCAACATTTTTAACCTATAAATGTATTTTCACTGAAAGCGTTTATAGTTTATTTGCACTTGGTTTGAGTAAAGAATCTACTATTGTTTCGCCGCTGAGTGCATCATCAGGACTCTCTCAGATTTCCAATTTAACTAGCTTAGCTAATAAAGAATGGGAGTCACTTCTACAGCAACCTTACCTCAATTTTCGCAATAAGCAATTAGAATTAGATAGATAAATCGAATTTTAATATTACATTAATTTTAATAATATAAATTGCTGGATTACCATCTGTATCATTCATAGATGGAACAATTATGAACTAAAATATTAAAACGGATGTGTATTGTTTATTTCTATATTTATCAGCAAACGTGGGCATTCGACACAAGAATTGTGTTTGTTTTGAACGCAACTTACACTTTCTTATCGCATTCGCCGCGTGGAATGCAATGTACGAGATCCCCTCACGCCGCCTGTTGGCGCTTCTTGGTTTAGTTTTGATCGCAGGTAACGTGCCAAAGCGATTCGCGCTCAAGGTTGCATGCCATCGAAGCACTGGCTTTGCGCATCTATTGCTGTCTTATCATAAACTGTCGCGTCGTTGCTAGCGCGCACGGTTTGCAGCCAGTACGGAGAATGTTCAATCTTTCATAATCGGTGATTCGTTGGTTTGCGCAATCGCTTTTAGTTTAAGAAGATATTAATTTTTTGAAAATCGTGGAAAAATTATCAAGCACCCCTTAGCAATTTTTCTTAAGAATAGAAATTTCATCTCTCAGATTTCCCTTTTAACTTATATCTATCTGATAGAAAATAGCCCGTAGATTAAGACGCTGCGATCGGATCTTAAATATCTCCTTTAGTTTACAGAGATATTCGCGTTTTGAATAAAATGGGCAAAATTGAAATGTCACTTTTTAGCACTTTCGGTCACGCGATTTTTCGATAACTTTTACTGTAGGAAATATAATTATTTTTATATTTTTTATCTGATAGAATGTTCCAATCTTTCATAATCAGTGATTCGTTTAGTTTGCAATCGCTTTTGGTTTGAGATATTAATTTTTTTGAAAATCGTGGAAAAAGTATCTGGCTTTATGGCAATTTTTCTTAAAGAATGAAAATTTCATCTCAGATTTCCCTTTTAACTATCCTATCTGATAGAAATAGCCGTAGATTAAGACGCTGCGATCAGATCTTAAATATCTCCTTTAGTTTACGAGATATTCGCGTTTGGTGGAAATGGGCAAAAATTGAGGAAATGTCACTTTTAGCACTTTCGGTCGCGATTTTCGACCTTTTACTGTAGGAAATATAATTATTTTTATATTTTTACATCTGATAGAGAATGTTCCAATCTTTCATAATCAGTGATTCGTTGGTTTATAATCGCTTTTAGTTTAAGAGATATTAATTTTTGAAAATCGTCGAAAAAAGTATCAAAGCACCCCTTGGCAATTTTTTTCTTAAGAATGAAATTTCATCTCTCAGATTTCCCTTTACAACTATATTATCTGATAGAAAATAGCCCGTAGATTAAGACGCAGCGATCAGATCTTAGAAATATCTCTTTTAGTTTGCAAGATATTCGCGTTTTGAATAAAATGGGCAAAAATTGAGAAATGTCACTTTTGCTTGCTTTCAGTCGCGATTTTTCGACCTTTTACTGTAGGAAATATAATTATTTTATATTTTTATCTGATAGAGAATGTTCAATCTTTTCATAATCCAGTGATTCGTTGGTTGGAATCGCTTTTAGTTTAAGAAGATATTAATTTTGAAAATCATTGGAAAAAGTATCAAACGCACCCCTTGGCAATTTTTTTCTTAGAATGAAAATTTCATCTCACAGATTTCCCTTTTAACTATCCTATCTGATAGAAAATAGCCCGTAGATTAAGACGCTGCGATCAGATCTTAAATATCTCTTTTAGTTTACGAGATATTCGCGTTTGAATAAAATGGGGTAAGGTGAGGAAATATCACTTTTGCACTTTCAGTCGCGATTTTCGACCTTAGCCTTTACTGTAGGAAATATAATTATTTTTATATTTTTTATCTGATAGAGAATGTTCCAATCTTTCATAATCAATTGATTCGTTGCTTGCAATCGCTTTTAGTTTAAAGAGATATTATTAATTTTGAAAATCGTCGAAAAAGTATCAAGCACCCCCTTAGCAATAATTTTTTTCTTAAGAATGAAAATTTCATCTCTCAGATTTCCCTTTTAACTATCCTATCTGATAGAAAATAGCCCGTAGATTAAGACGCTGCGATCAGATCTTAAATATCTCTTTTAGTTTACGAGATATTCGCGTTTGAATAAAATGGGCAAAAATTGAGAAATGTCACTTTTTAGCACTTTCAGTCGCGATTTTCGACCTTTTACTGTAGGAAATATAATTATTTTATATTTTTATCTGCAATTTTTTCTTAAGAATGAAAGTTGCGTCTCTCCAATTTCCGTTTTAACTATCTATCTTATAGAGAGTCCGTAGATTAGTACCTTGGCGATTTTATCTAATTATCTCCCGTTTTCCATTATAGATCGTGGAACAATAACAAATCCTCGTATTGTTATCCTATTTTTATAGCCATGCTGCTTAAATGAAAAAAGATAAACTAGGCCGTATGTTTCACATAATCATTGATCAAATTAATTTATTTTTTGGTGATAAGGTAAGGTATAGAAATATGCCAATATTTAATTAATGTGATGAATTAGATTGCGAATAAGCTACGCAACACAATCACACAAAATTAAATTTATTAAATCTATTACTGCGATGTGAGTGACTGATTAACAAAATAAACTTGATTTTTAGTAATTTTAATTTATTTTTATCCTTAATTTAGCCATTCCCCATTGTTGTCGATCAATCTACACCTGAATTACTGAATTAATATATGGTTTAATACACCTTGATATATTACAAATAATTTTTATTCGCAATGAGGGTAAACTGCATGTTTTGATTTCATTAACCTTTATGAACTGAAAATTTTAATGAAATAGGTATTTTATTTGTGAAACATACACAAAGTTGTATCAAAGTTTGTTTATATTTTGTCTGGAACAGGTATACCTTAAATTCAAATATAAATAAATACTTAATATTAACTTAAGCATATACCCAGTAAAAGATTATAAATGTTAAATTTTTTAAGTTTCTTTTTTATTCAACGTTATTATTCTTGACATTCACAATGAAAATTCAAAACGTTCTTATTGTAATTACGAGTATGTTTGATCTTTGTATTATTAATCAAATGGTGACAGCAAGGAATAGAACACGACGGAATGGTGATTATAGTTAATATATTTGTTTCTGTAAATTAAAACAAACATTTAAAATGTTTAGTTGAACGTTTAAACCGAAGAGAAAGATTTGGTCCTCCTTATAACCACCATAATCATGAAATGATTGGTTGGCCCATCGATGAATCATTTGATTCTTCTTCTTCTGGAGTTCCGGAGTTTGATTTCTTTGACAGTAGTAATGGGTATCATCACAGAAATATTTATAGCCAAATTGCACAAAAAGTAATTGAAATAAATCTTGAATCAAAACCAAATACAAGTAAATTACGCCGACTTTTCTACACTTAATAATATTTACTTGAGAATAATTGATTTAGATTACGCAAAAAACATCATTTTATTCATTGGTGAAGACTTGCCCGTATCAACATTCAAAACAGCACGCCTTTATCAACAATGCCTAGGAGATTTCTGCTATGATGAGGTCCCAAAGGATTCTATACTTCGATATTACTTTCAGGATTATGCTATTGCTAAGGTTAGAAATTCTATTTAATACAATATATTTAGTACATTTGTTATACTTTTGTGTTATTTCTAGTCTGAATGCTCTGATTCTGTGGAACCTGATGTAGCATGTGCGACAACTGCCATTCTTACAGGAGCAAAAAGCAACAAAGGTACAATATCCCTCAACGACAAAGTCAAATTTAACTCACATAAATACCAACCCAACAAAATCCATCGCCTGGATTCGATTGCCTCCTGGGCGCAATTTGATGGCAAACGTACTGGATTGGTCACTTCAGGTCGGGTTACTTCACCAGGTGTCTCACCATACTATGGCCATACCCCCAATTATAATTGGCAGTCTGACTATGACATGGCAAAGAATAAGGTCTTTGCTCATGGTGCAGATCTTGCTTCGCAATTGATCAATAGCAAAACTGGGTCCAATCTTAACGTTATTCTTGGTGGTGGTCGGAGGAAATTTCTTCCATCACATCAAAGTCGCGGTGAAAGATTAGACAGAAGGAATCTAATAAATGAATGGTTGAGGTCGAAACGTGACCATGGCGAACATGCTTATATTGAAACCAAAGAGGAGTTGCCACAAGTCTGCAGACATACTAAATACCTTCTTGGACTTTTTGATTTAGACCACTTGAATGGTAAAAATCATCCGAAACTAGCCGAAATGACTGCGGCTGCTATCAAGCTGTTGGACAAACCAAATGACGAAGGCTTCTTATTACTCGTACATTCGTCTAAGGTGTACCCTCAGGATGACTTCACAGAAGATGAAAGACAGGTACATCAACACATACATCTCATGGACGCTATCAAAACCGCCATTGACATGACTGATGCATCGGAGACTTTGATTATTGGCACTACTGATCACTATTTCCGCAATCGGAAGTACTTATTTAATCAACTACGAAATGATGTTGGCGAACAAAAATGTAATAAGTATGATTCCTATGCTTACTTAACTTAACTTAAAAGCTATTCTTTTTCAGATACTCGGAAAACGGACATACCGGAAATACGGACTGATTGGGATTTCAGTACTTATGGTAAATTTGTTTTAAATCTAAATAATGTTTTCAATTTTAACATGTAATTTGTTTGACGGAACTCGAGTAACTGCTATTTTGAATGAGTTAATTGGTAAACCAGAGTATTCCGAAGATTACTGTGATATTAGAGACACCGGCGATGACGCAATGGTTTTTGCATATGGACCATATTCGCATCTGTTCAGCGGAATCATGCAACAAAATTATATTGCGTATATAATTGGCTATGCAGCATGCATTGGAGATAGTTTGCAAATGTGTGATGATTATTACATTTAAAACATCATTAACTCACGTTTATATACTGTATATACATATAATTATGGACAAATAGTTTGCGAGGAAGGTGGTTTAGAAATTTCCGCGCGTTGTCTTATGTATTCATGTGTACATACATGTTTGTTGTACTGTCCACGTAGAATTCGTTTTTATATGTAAATGTTTTGTATTGTATTGTAGTGCAGAAATGTTAGAGATGCGCGTATTACAAGGCAAGTTTTACTTTCAGGAGATTTTAGAGCTGTCTATGATTTTAAATAAATGTATGTAGTTTTTAATGTTGCTAATAAAACATAATGTAATATTATATACTTCTTCATATGTCTTTTTGGTTTCCCCTTTGCCGTTTGCAGGACTGATGTCTTATATCATATTCCATATAAATCTTAAGTGCATCGAGCGTGTACAATATATAGCTGTTACTTGTATTGTGTTGTGTTGTTTTTAAAAACATGATAAAAGTAGAAACATAAATAGAAGAATCAAATAACAACCATAAAAACACTCGGTGGTCGAGTGGAGACGTGCACCTGCTGGCATGCTAGCAGACACGGATCGAATCTCAGGTATGGATGGCATTTTTCTCAAATATAAAAATATCAGGTGTAATTTGGGTTGCATATATGAATTGCAACGAAATATAAGAGAAATTGAAATATAAGTGAAGGCAATATGAGAAGAAATAAGAAAGCAAGGGCAAGCGTAGAAACGGAGAAACAGGGAAGTAGAAGAAGCAGAAATAGTAGTAGAGAATGGGAGAAGATAGAAGGAAGAGAACAGAAAGTAGAGTAGAGAAGAGGAGGAGATAGAAGAAGAACCAGGGGAGGATCAGATTTTTTGAAATTTTTGGCGCGTGTCACGTTTATAAGACAGTCTACGGTCGATCTCCCAGAGCGCCTCCGGCGCTCTGGTCGATCGCCCACTGCTTCGATCCATCCGTACTCCCGGCCCATCCTACAGCTACGATGTCTCTGCGCTTCATCTATCAGGCATATCAGCAATGAACTTTTATGGTGGGGGATGTCCCAGAGAGAGGGAACTCCTTATAAGGACATCCTTTTAAGAACTTGGCAAAAGTAAACACAATTTTAAGTCGCCTCAAAGGGGACATAAAAATATTCTTACAAGTTCTTACCTGAAATGAAAGATAAGTACACGTATCATACAGGATACGTTAACGAATTTTAGCATAATTGGGGATCATCCCTGGGGAGGAGAGCTGTTCCTCTGTAATCATAGAAGGGGTAAATATAAATCAAAGAAGTCGGCCATAATATGTCCTTTTCTTCTTTATTTATAGTAGAATACAAGTTTAAGATTTTACAAGTCAACAATACGTATCGCCATATTGAGGCAGGACTTTGATACCAGCAGCCCGCGCACATACCAGCAAATATATTTTCTTGGTGATTGAAAGCAAAGTAACTACTTACGAGGGTGTTACAAATGAAAAAAATTAAATGTGAAAACAAGAAAAACTATTTTAACACTACAAATATCATTCGTTTTTTCACCTGAGGCTCAGGAAACTAATATACAGAATTAATGCCACAAAAATTTGAGAGGCAATGAGGAAAACCCTAAAAGCAACAATTAAAGCAAAATTTCCCACGATTAAGCTAAGAAAGAAATGACTATACAGGGTGTTTCCCAGAGAAAAGAAAATCTCTAGGTTTAAGAGCAAGGAGAACACAAAAACTCCACAAATATGGCGGAGATTTTTACATGGTACTTTAGAGAAAATTAATAATATTGGGGTATTGGGGGCTTTAAAGTGTGTAAGGAAAACCTTTACCTCCATATAAGGGCCCCAAAAATTTTTTATACAGGGAGGCTGACAAGTACGCTACATAACTGATTAATATACATGGTATTACGAAAGACCGCTTTAGAAACTACAAAAAGGAGTTAATGACTACACACAACACAGCAGAAGAGGGAAATTTACAAATAAGCAACAATATTGAGCAAAGATGGTACAAAAATAAAACACTTACATTTTAACATATTGTAGATGTATATTATTTATTAGTGATGCATCAGCATATAACCGACAGGTGAAGCATCATCATAGTGACGGCGAAACTGGCGGCGCGTAACGCAATTCAGTTATTAGAAGAATAAAAATAACTATTTTTTTATACTTAAATATTAAGATGTGTACGGGGCCTTTATAAGAAAACGAAAAAACTATTCAAAAGCATTACAAATTTGATCTAAATATTAAAATCTTCTTAATTTAATGATGATAAGGACTGCAAATCGATAAAACATTCACGTGACTGGCGAAAATATAGCTGAGCCGACAGCCGACAGCAAAGAGAGTGAGCGTAGTCGACCATATGAATGTACTTAATTTTAATATTCAGATACTTTTTAAAACAGTATTTGTATTGTTAAAATCATCCATATTATTTTCGGAAACGGAACCAGAATTTTTGATAAAATGCTACATACCATGAGTTTGTAATTTACAAGATGATGCATACAAGTTACTTGGCATACATATTAAAGTAGCGTAATAACTTTACGTAAAAAATTAATTACAAACCCTAGGTAGGTATGCATTGACGAGGTTTTTATATCCTGGAATATATTCTATCAACTGAAAACACACACGCACGATTAATGGACACGTATTTCTTATTTAAGGAGACTCTAAAAGCCGCACTTTAATCCCGTTAAACAAAACATGCACACCTGCAATATTTTGCTGATGGACGAAAAGTACACGACGATTCGTCAATTAAAACTACTCTAAACGCATGGCGATTAGAAGACACGTTCACTTGGGCCGCGGTGAAACGGCTACCATATTGCGCTTCGCTTAGCCAGGTACAAGGCTGGTACGTAGCGATAATACGCGTTACTTGAACAAAAAGTTGGCATACACAAACGTATTGATAAACTCGTAGTTAAAAGACCAAACTAAAATTTCACAATGTTGAAATAATTGATATCAACGAAATCTACTTTGACTTTTCAATATTTCTTGCTAAGAAATGAATTTATTGGTTTTGGGTCATAAAACTGTGACAAACGGTGAGTAAATCACCTTTGAATGCAAATTTTCGGGGGTTGCAGGTCGAATTCCTGCATAAAATAAATACCACCCGACGGAGAATTTAATTCCGCATCTTTTGATGTCGCGCTGAAGTTAGTACGGCGCGTTTAGCCTGCAAACCCGAAAAATACAAACATTATTGCACGAAAAACGGTAGGTAGGTGCACTATTACAAATTTCCGGGGGTTGCAGGTCGAATTCCTGCATAAAATAAATCTACCGACGGAGAATTTAATTCCGCATCTTTTGATGTCGCGCTGAAGTTATTACGACGCGCGCCCAGTTCGCGTGCAAACCCAGATACAGGCGGTGCGAGAGAAAAACGGTTAGGTAAGTCACCTTTTAATACAAATTTCCGGGGGTTGCAGGTCGAATTCCTGCATAAAATAAATACCACCCGACGGAGAATTTAATTCCGCATCTTTTGATGTCGCGCTGAAGTTATTACGACGCCCAGTTCGCGTGCAAACCCGAAAAAATACAAACATTGCACGAAAAACGGTGAGTAAGTCACCTTTTAATACAAATTTCCGGGGGTTGCAGGTCGAATTCCTGCATAAAATAAATACCACCCGACGGAGAATTTAATTCCGCATCTTTTGATGTCGCGCTGAAGTTATTACGACGCCCAGTTCGTGTGCAAACCCGAAAAAATACAAACATTGCACGAAAAATGGTGAGTAGGTCACCTTTTAATACAAATTTTCGGGGGTTAAAGGTCGAATTCCTGCATAAAATAAATTACGCCCGACGGAGAATTTAATTCCGCATCTTTTGATGTCACGCTGAAGTTATTACGACGCCAAGATTGCGTGCAAACTCAAAAAAATACAAACATTGCACGAAAAACGATGAGTAAATCACTTTTTAATGCAAATTTTCGGGGGTTGCAGGTCGAATTCCTGCATAAAATAAATACCACCCGACGGAGAATTTAATTCCGCACCTTTTGATGCCACGCTGAAGTTATTGAGACGCCCAGTTCGCATGCAAACCCGAAAAAATACAAACATTGCACGAAAAACGTTGATTAATTCACTTTTTAATGCAAAATTTTCGGGGTTGTAAGTCGAATTCCTGCATCAAATAAATACCACCCGACGGAGAATTTAATTCCACATCTTTTGATGCCGCGCTGAAGTTATTGAGACGTCAAGATCGCATGCAAACCCGAAAAAATCCAAACATTGCACGAAGAACGTTGAGTAAATCACCTTTTAATGCAAATTTTCGCGGGTTGCAGGTTGAATTCCAGCATCAAACAAATACCACCCGACGGAGAATTTAATTCCGTATCTCTGGACGCCGCACTGAAATTAGGGAGCTGCCTAGATCGCGCGCAAACACAAAAAAATACAAACATTTCATGAAAAAGGGTGATTTTTTCATGCAAATTTTCGCCGGGTTCATACGGTGCCCTGAACACGAGTCACTTTTACCGCTAGCCTCTTAAGGTGCCCTGAATCGAGTCACTTCTGCCGCTAACAAATACAACCCGCAAACTAAACTTTTAAACTAAAAGCGCAAGCGAGCTAAAACTTATTTTGAGATGTATCAACCGGGTACGCGACCATCTTATGTATTTGCAACACGCGGTGGAACGCGATAAATCAAAACAAAGTAAATACAAATTAATGGAGGACGCAGAAATTAAAACGAAAAATATAATTGAATTATAAACTTACCAATGCGAAACTCATGGACTACAAGGAACGTCAAATACTGTAAATAAAAAGAAAAAAACATAAGTTAAAAGGAAAATAATTCATAAGATTTAATAAAATTATAATCACACAGCGAAGAAAAACAAACAATCTGTGCTGTTTACTTAAAAGTTCCTTACACCAGCACGATGGGTCATCCTAATGATGAATATCAAATCAACATGGGGGCGATGCACTTAACTATGGACTATATACGCGCAAACAGTAAATAACATTACTATAGTCGATTGAGAATCGAATATAATGCAAATTTGGAAAGTAGATGCCCGGACAAACAATATGAGTCGAGTAAATTACGTCTGGATCAACCAGAGACCGGCACGAAACTGGCTGCAAACTGTGCAAGCAACGACGCCACAGTTTATGATAAGAAAGCAATAGATGCGCAAAACCAGTGCGTCGATGGCACTCGACCTTGTGCGCATATCGCTTTGGGACGTTACCTGCGATCAAAACTAAACTAAGATGCGCCAACATGCGGCGTGAGGGGATCTCATGCGTTGCATTCCACGCGGCGAATGCGATAAGAAAGTGTTAGTTGCGTTCAAAACAAACACAATTCTTGTGTCCAATGCCCACGTTTGCTGATAAATATAGAAATAAACACTATACATCCGTTTTACTATTTTTAGTTCATAATACCGCAATTTAAATTATTAAAAATAATGCAATAGTAAAATTCGATTTATCTGTCTAATTCTAATTTCTTATTGCGAATATTGAGCTAAGGGTGCGGTTTCTTCATATAGCAAAAAACGGATAGTAGATTTTTAATTTACGGGAAATTCTTTATACGATAATTAAATTGGAAATCTAAGGCAAAAAAAATAATTCTTAAGGAAAAATGTGCTGCATCATGTTTTTTTAAAGATCTTCGGTAGCGTATATTTTACAAATTAGTAAAAAGTATTAATTTTCTATAACGCAAAGTATTACAATTTACAATAGTGCATGCTGTGCCTCAGCCAAGCAAACAAGGTTGAGAGAATTCATGATAAGACTACCTGTTGCCCGAACGCGTAAAGCCGGCGTAAGGATGGCACGCGACTTTGGCACAAACCGCAATATACGATACAGGCGATATAAACGCCAGCAGAGCAAGACTTGCAACGACAACACACGACAAGTTTGAACGTTACAATTCGCACGACAATAAAAAATCAAAACAAACACAATTCTCGTGTCGAATGCCTACGTTTGGTGATAAATATAGAAATAAACAATAAAAGTCTATTTTATGATTTTTAGTCCATGTTAGTGCCATCTATAGATTCAAGTAGTACTTTAGATTAAATATTAAATTAATGCAAAAATTAAATTCTATTTATGTAACTCAAAATTGTTATTCTGAAAAATTGCTCAATTTAACATCAAATATTTCAGTAATACATAAATTTTACTAAGATAAGAAGTAGAGAAATATGTATTACTGAATCTCCTCCAAATAAAATTTAAAATTTTTATTCCTAATTTTGCTTCAGAAAGAACATTGTCATTTGGTAACATAGCAGAACAACAATAAAACGTAGAACTAAACTTAAGTATAAGTACACGGCAAACTCTTTCTATACATAATAAAATTATTTTACTTACCAGTTACGGAAGACAATAAATCGAAGGCAAGTTGATTGATACTGAAATAAATGAGAAACAAAACATTATTTTCTACCATGCGGAAATAAATTTTAGTTCCGTCGGAACGCAATCATTGAATTAAAATTCTTGTTATTCGCATAATAATGATAAGAATGACAATATTTACCAGATAGCACATTAGTCCATGCTCCTCTGTTGATGACACAAATGATTTCCACAGTTTAATAATTATTAGCATTCACAAAATATTGCCTGCCGTCGCCCGACGGCAACGGACTCTCAAACAAAATAATGTGAATAAACAAAACACGCAAAATTTAGAATTACGAAGATTACACACGCGATAAGTAGCTGATAAGAGATCAAACACGTTTATTAACACTAATTATCACAGGCGATCAGGAAATATAACGCGATTTAGTTAACTTATATCAAAGAATAACACGAACCGAAAGTGTAAAATGTGAGCTCGCTGTTATCGCACCAATGCAACAAAACAAAATTCTTTCGTTGGAATATTTTCAGTTAATCCTACATCGTTGCGCCATCTGACGACCCTTTATAGTACCTCGCGAAAGTACTAAGTGTTTCAAACAGTATGGCGCGCATGTGTGTCAGTGCAAAATTGTGTATGAGTCAGTGAGTGGTCACGCACTTAGATAGCTACGTCCGTGTGATACACGTACACGAAAGTTTTCGTGCACCACCTAGTCTAAAGTAATAGCAGTTTTGCACACTAATGCAATAAGTTAAACCTAGGTGAGGCGTAATGTTCAAATTTACACTGCGTTTTACAAGGTTGTATCCAATATTAAATCTTAAATAGTATTGCATCAGCGTTTTTCTTGAAACAATTAAATACCATCCGACAGAAAATTTAATTCTGCATCTTTAGACCCCGCGTTCAATTTCGAACCTCACTTCGTTTACTCACAATACATATTTGCATATTCCAATATGGACCATATTTGCATCTGTTCAGTGGAATCATACAACAAAATTATATTGCGTTATGCAGCATGCATTGGAGATAGTTTGCAAATACATGATGATTATTAAATTTAAAACATGTTTAATTCACGTTTTTATGTCAACTGTCATTTGCGACGTCATTTTGCACAAGGTGTCATTTGTTTGGTGTATGGTCGTGTGAGATGGAGAAAGTTGGTTGAAGAGTTAAAGATTTTCGATTTTAAAAGCGAAACAATTTTCTGGACATTAAAGTAAATTGAATTGCATTACCAGGGTGACTCGTCGAAAAAATGGTCAAGATAGAGATTTGCTGGTGGCATCTGTCCCCTGGCTGTTTTGGATTCAGCGATCTGTTGGTGGATATTTAGCGCTTTGGTCAACACGACCCGAACTCTACGATTACGTAGAAATGAAGTCAAGTTGAATCTCTATAGGCACTTTACTAACACACTCATATTCTCCGTGGCTGCTTCTGTCATATTTATGCTATACTCCATCAAAACGCATCGTGTTGTCACGTGTCTGATGATCTGGAAAGACCTCTGGTTGGAAGAAGCTTATTGGCATATTCTATTCTCCGCACTTCTACTAGTTATCATGGTGTTGTGGAGACCTACAAATAATAATCAACGCTATGCATTTGTTCCTCTGCTCGAAACGGGCGACGATGAAGAAGAGGAACATCTTGTGAATGATTCCTACGGGGTGAAAGTGCGAATTCATCATCAGAAGTCCACACCACCGAAGCAGTCGTCCTCGGTGGAGGATGATCTTAAATGGCTAGAGGAGAACGTCACCATTGAGCCGCCCTTGCCGGTGCTGGACTCCGACGAGGAACTAGTCAACACGCGTTTTGAAGTTTCCAAAATGCAGTGAATGGAAATACAAATGACGCCAACATGTATTATAAGCCAAATGAATGTATTAAATTTTTATCCTATCTCTAGCGAATGTGCGAACGTTCCAAGAGTACTTAAATGTGACCAGGACACTGCTTTCGAATTAATACCAGTAGATGTTGATATCATAGATGTGTTGTGTGAAATCGTGTCTTTATTGAACTTTGTGACTGAAGATATTCATATTCAAAATTAGTCGTAAGCGTATGTTCTTTGATTACACGCGACCAGATCTATTACCATTATAGATTGGCAAGTGAGAGTGAGAAGAGAATTCTAGTTAGAGTTAAAACATTGGAAAGTTGATAATAATATTTGGATTTTTCTGTTAAAACAGGCCATACGATGCACAAATTATATGATTGTCATTTTAAGTGTACTATTTTGTAAATAAGATCTTAGGATAAAGCAAAAGTAGTTTTAATTTAAGTTCATTTAGAGAAGTTAAGTTGTTTTAGTTTCTTTAATATATTGGTTAATACTAATCTATTTTCGGTCCTTTTGCTATGTAATCTAATAGTTTTTATATTTTTATGCTTTATCCGCAATTTTTCTGGAAAAAATCGGGTTTAAAACGCGCATAGGTGATACTAAACAATAAAAAAATGACTTCAATGAGTCAGAGAGGTCACGCACGGGTCCGCCGACAAATCCTACAAACTTATTGCTAAATATGGTAGCAACGTTGATTCGAATTCGAATGTAATTATGAATGGGTGCGTGGGCATTGTGGGCAAATGATCGTAAGCGTTTGGTCGATGAGAAAACAACAACAAAAGTAACAACTTAATAACCTTTAATAAAATGATTGCTGGAGTGAAATAAATTTTATTGTATACAGTTTCTAATGGAAAAAATATTTTAAAACTCAGAGTTAACCAGTATTACAAAAGACAAAAATTTGTTTATTTGGTGATTAAGATACACGAATACCGTTTTAAGGCAGTATAGGAATATAGGAATATATTTATTTATGGTTTTGAATTCCTAAGATACATTCAACTTCAAACTATTTGTTTCTAAGCAAATTAAGCAAAAAATATATAAAAATATAATTTATAGGCGCGTAAATGTAAAATTATTTAAGATAAGAATTTGCAGAAAGAACATACAAGTAATAGTATGATTAATTTGTTATAAACTTTATATTTTGCATGTTAATTAGAGTACATGCAAAAATGACGTGCAGTAATAGCTGAATTGCGCTTTTCGGCCTATAAACTCGAACATGTGTTGTCTACGATCGCATTGCCGAAAGTGGGTGTTAGGCAAGCTGGCCAAAGATGGGCATTCCAATAACAACAGGTCGATTGTCCCTCCTCGATATCCTTTCCCGTTTGCCGTCGCGACGAAATTTCGATGACGTGCACATAATCATACAAATCTTCGAACAATCGAAACACTCAGTTAATAGCAAGGTGCGAAAGTTGACGGACGTGCGTGATTGGATATTCGATTAAATTTATATCAAACATCAATTAAAGTAAGTTTTATAAAACAAATTTTATATTTTTGTATTATTTTAATCAATTAATCAATATTTTAAAGAAAAATACGTAAAAAATAAAATGTTTTAATCTGTAATGGCTGCCATTTACTGCCAAGATAAAAGTTCGCATTCAGATTGCACATTTAACACAGTTTAGTGTAAAACACACATCGCGATCATCAAAGATCTCGTTTTATATTTTATGCACTGCGCACTCACATATAAGAACATTAAATAGCGATATAATAAAGATAAAATGTACTACCAAGTATTTGTCTCACTTAAATCTACTTAAAAGCGCATTTAACGTGTTTTGCTTGTTTTTTCTGTGTAAATTGAAACACGTATTCGTTAGTGTTAATTTATTTGCATATAACAGATTTGTTCGTGTTTGTTTACTGGTAACGCATGTATTAAGATGACATCGTAAATTGCATCATCCTTTTATGGTGTGTTTCATGTAGGTATAGTTTTTGCGTGTGCTGTAAACCGAAATAAGACGAAATTGGTCACACCAAGGTGAGCACACACGCGTCGACGAAAACCAAAACCAGATGTTTCGATTTTTCAATGTTTTTTGAAGCTATTTATAGCCATTACAAATCTTTAATATAAATGTATAAATTTTCAATTTTGACTTGAAGGTGTTAACAGGTTTATGAAAATATCATATTTGCCATAAATTAACAAATATTGTCCGAAACAAGTTAAATATTTATCTTATTTCTTGCGGAACAAATCAGTATATATTTATATTTAATACTAGCTGTTGCCCGCGACTTCGTTCCGGCTGTGTTTAATAAAAATGTAATTCGTTTTTACTCTCTTGTTCTAGACATACTCGTAGTAAGAGTCAATTCTATCAATAAGATTCGCAATTTTAATTTAAACAAATTAATTATATAAAGTTTTGTCAATAATGCACTTCAGCGCGCCATCTCGAATTCAACTATTTAACTATAACTATGAGTGAATCTCAATGTCAAATTTTATTATTCTATAGAAAAGAGCTGTTTTGATGATTTTCCCGGCAATTATTCGAGTTTTTCTCACCTTTTAAACCTTCCCTAGACCTCCACGAATAATTCAAGACCAAGATAAGATAAATCCGTTCAGCCGTTCTCGAGTTTTAGCGAGACTAACAATTCATTTATATATATATATAGATTCTTCATTGACAAATAATAACGAAGGCATAGAATTAACTTTCTTGAGGAATGCCCAAATTAGAACGTTTCCAATTATTAGATCGCTCGAGTCGTACCTGGCACGACCAAAGTCATATTTATCGACTGGTTGGTTTTACGTCAGGATGAAAAACAGTGCAAAATCAGTTCAAGTTGAACAACCCATTCGACCAGTTGTTGGTTTTACTGAATTTATAATTTGCAGTAATTTTGATTTGCTTTGCTTTCGCCTTTTGCAGCACCGAATAAATACCATGTCGAAAATGCGGATGTAATATTTGATAGCTCGCCAAAATACACGATACGACCGAAAACAAATATTTACAAACCAAGTGACACGCCTGGTGGGTACAAACCTGCCACAATTAAAAAATGAATTTTCCGTGATTTTTCTCAAATTTTTGTAAAATTTACCGTATTCTTTTACAGCACCAAACACTTATGCAATCGAACGAGCTGATGTCATATTCGATACATCGCCCAAATACACTCTCAGGCCCAAAACGGGCATTGAGAAACCGTCCGATGTGCCTGCCCCGAATTGCTATCACATTGAACGCGCTGATGCGATTTATGATAACTCCCCCAAATACTCGATGAGGCCTAAAACTGGCGTTGAGAAACCATCAGATGTGCCGGGTTAGTTTATAACATTTACTGACAATAAATATTAACAAATCGTAATTTTCCTAAACATAAAAATTTAATTAATGTTGACTATAAATTTATAGCACCGAACTGCTATCATATTGAACGTGCTGATGTTATTTTTGATAATTCGCCCAAATACACGATGAGGCCACAGACAAACGTGGAGAAACCTTGGATAACACCCGGTAAATAAATAAAATAAATAAAAAACACTCAAATAAAAGTAATACCTACTATAAATCAGTGAGATGTTTAATATAGGAAAGGAATTAAAATAAGAATTAATATTTTAGCCCCAAACAGTTATAATGTTGATAAAGCTGATGTTATCTTTGATAACTCCCCAAAATACACAATGAGGCCAAAAACCGGTATTGACAAACCGTCGGATGTTCCTGGTAATTTAAATTCATCAAAATATAACAATAAACATCCTCAATTAATGCTTACCATAATTTTGCAGCGCCTAACAGCTATCATATTGAGCATAGTGACAATTTATTCGATAATTCGCCAAAATATACTATGAGACCACAAACAAACTTAGAGAAATCGTCGATAACACCTGGTAAACATTCAAAATTAAATTAATTAATTTTTGATAATTCTCCAAAATACACAATGAGGCCACAAACAAACTTGGAGAAACCATCGGTGACTCCTGGTAAACATACAAAATAATTGATTATCACTCAAAAAATTAAAAAAAAAACGTTATAATCGATATTTTACAGCACCAAATGAATATAAAATTGAACGAGCTGATATTATCTTTGATAATTCGCCAAAGTATACAATGCGTCCCAAAACTGGTGTAGAAAAACCATCAGATGTTCCCGGTACTTAATAAAATAACTAACAAAATAAAGCTTGATCATTAACGCTTATAATTAATTTGCAGCACCAAATTGTTATCATATTGAACGTGCTGATGTTATTTTCGATAATTCACCCAAATACACAATGAGACCACAAACAAATTTGGAGAAACCATCGATGACACCCGGTAAACAAACAGAATAGTTGGTTAAAAAAAAAACATTAAGTAACTTTATTTTACAGCCCCAAATGAATATAAAATTGAACGTGCCGATGTTATTTTCGACAATTCACCGAAATACTCAATGAGGCTTAAAACAGGCGTTGAAAAGCCTTCTGATGTTCCTGGTGTGTAACAAACACATCAAAATTATTGATATTTCTTAATAGTTTGTCATCTTTTAGCACCTAATTCTTATCACATTGAACGCGCCGATTTAATCTTTGATAATTCTCCAAAATATACAATGCGCCCCAAAACCGGCGTAGAAAAACCGTCAGATGTTCCTGGTACATATTAAAATTAACCATCAAAACAAAAGCTTGATTATTAACGCTTATAATTAATTTCCAGCCCCGAATTGCTATCATATCGAGCGCGCTGATGTTATTTTCGATAATTCCCCAAAATATACGATGAGGCCGCAAACCAACTTAGAGAAACCTTCAATGACACCCGGTAAACACATGAAATTACGAAATAATACATTGTGCCCATACAATAATACATTGATCATTCAATTTTATATTGAAAAAAACATCAAATCATTACTTTACAGCACCAAACGAGTATAACATTGAACGTGCGGATGTAATTTTCGATAATTCTCCAAAATACACGTTGAGAGCGAAATTAAACGACGAAAAACCATCAAACACACCTGGTTAGTACAAAATATTATGTTTGTCACTTAATACAACAACAATTAATATGCAACACTAATGGCATTTTAAACATGATGAAAACTTATGTGAGAACTTCTCTGTTGTCTAAAAATAATCAAATTTGCAGCTATTCGTCAACTAATCCGCTATTTTGGCATTTAATCTTCAGGAAGGGTATTAATTCTTTATAAATTCTTTAAATAGTTAATTTTGCTTGATTATTTTTTGTTTATTTCGATTTAACTTGCAGAATGAAATTAAATAATTTTAATGACATGATATTTATTATGATATTTCTAGCACCAAACGTGTACACAATCAAATCCAAGCTGGGCGACTCCGCAGCTCCAGCATTCACAATGACTGGCCGAAACAAATGCGCCGTGGACGAACGCGTCAAGAACCCTGGACCGGGAGCATATAACAATGTAAATCCCACTGCTATTAAATCGCAATCACCTTCGTATACCATGGGTGCAAGACATTCCATCACAGCTGAATGCTTTAAAATTCCTGGGCCTGGCAACTATCGTCCTGAAAAGGTCGATTAACTAACTAACTTTTTAATTAATAGCTTATTATTTATCTAATTTTTAAACTCATTATCTAATTTTTAAACTCATTTTAACTCTGCATTAAAATTAAACAGGTTGATATACATCTGCGACATGCACCTGGGTATTCATTTGGAATAAGACATTCTAACTATCTTGGATCAGAGGAATTATGTTTGAGGAGTGATAAACCATTACTTTACTTATCTTAAGTTTGAGTATAATGGAAAGGCAAAGAATAACAATCAATAGTTTACTAATCACAATAATAGTCTATTAATATTAATATGTAAGTAAAAATTACATAACCTTCTAATGATTTAAATTGAATAATGGTTAATATTGTATTTGTTGAATTTATAGGAGCTCATCGAATATCAGTCGGCGTATTCTTTCGGCATTCGTCACTCACCATGGGCCGATCATTATTAATTTTTTTATATTTTCAATTTTATTTCATTTAGCTTATGCTTGGTCGTTTTATGTTTTGTTCATTGATTGCGTGCTTTCTTGATGATTGTTTTTATATTTTTTCTCGTGATTTTATTCGCATTTTACTGCTTTTTTTGTTATCAACGCAATTTTTCATACTGTTTAGCTTTATATTTGTCTTTTTGAGGCTTTTTAATGAAAACTTCAATAGTTTTAATTTATTTGTAGCTACAATTTAAAATACTTGCTTTTTTACACACGAATAAAAATAAAATAAACTAACGCAACTCGTTTTTATGAGTTTTATTGAAAAATACGCGATCTTAAAAATATATAAAAATATCTTTAAAATCATCCCATCCTTGGAAACAAAATTTAAAAACAAAAATCAATTATTAAACGTTTCCAACGATTAGAAACAGAATCAGAATCTCCTAAGTCAGTTATATTACGATTCTATAATCATAACACCGCTGCATAATGAGTTCATCATCGTCCAGTACCATGCCGCGCTCAACCGGCGGTAAATTAGCATCGAAGGGTTTGAAACCTTCAACCAAGGTACGTGAAGACAAAAAGAAGAAGCGCAAACGCAAGGAGTCGTACGCAATCTACATCTACAAGGTGTTGAAGCAAGTGCATATTGATACTGGCATCTCCAGCAAAGCAATGAGCATCATGAACTCATTCGTGAATGATATCTTCGAGCGTATTGCTGCGGAGGCGTCGCGGTTGGCTCATTATAACAAGCGGGCAACTATCACAAGCAGAGAGATTCAGACTGGCGTGCGTTTGTTGCTTCCAGGCGAATTGTCCAAGCATGCTGTGAGTGAAGGCACTAAGGCTGTCACAAAGTATACCAACACTAAATAATTATTGATTATTTATATTTTGTATATTATACAATTTAAAAATTTGTGTTTTTTTTGTCAATGAATTCGTTTTTGAGTTTTTTTTAGATAAGTTTTGTTTCAGTCATTAGTCTATGTATACAGCTCTTCAGTAATAGCAAAATAGCTAATTACAACTTGTCAAAAATAAAAATAAAGCATGTTTTTCTATTTCCATTCTTAAAACGCCAATTTTTCCGCGGATTTGAGACACAAAAGAGTTTTTGTTCCATTGTTAAATTTTTGCGACTTTTTATGTTTTTATTTTTGGTATTTGTAACTAGTCTGCAGCCACATCTGGTTGAAGCGAGTGTTTAACAAGGAATTAGATAAACGCCCGCGGAAACATCTGCGCCCCTTTCACGCCACGGACGCGCGCTTCAATTTCTCACTCACCCTCCGCTTGGTGTGAAAGTGGGGAGGAAACCTGGAGAAACGACAAACTGGGAAACACCCCAAAGTCCTTTGGGACCACTAAACAACACTTGTACACTTGCAATCGATCTAAACTCATTTGAACACCTGCAAAACCTTGAAATCCATAAAAAAAATACGGTGAATAAAATATAGTAGTAACATATAATATATAATTTGTAAAACTTGATCGTGATTACAAGTGATAATGTAAGCCACGCGTCATATGATTACACCCAAATGTATATGCACATAACACATTCATCAACCACAATCGCGTGTCTGACGCGTGTCAACACCCCACAATTCTTGAAATTACTTTTGCCGAAATGATTCCCACAAAATTTAAAATATTAGATATTGGATTACATCAAATCATAAAAAGTGAAATTATTTTATTAATAACATGGGAAAATGCTCTTCTTTAGAGATAGTAATTAGAAGTTATTATTATTATTAAGGTATTAGGCTATAAACATGATAAAATTGCCATATGGCTAGTTTTTATTTTCAATACAAATGAATGATTCCGTGAAGTTTTGGGAGCACAAATAATATTTATTTACTCGAGGGATGCTGGGAGAGTACCAGCGGCGCCCAACGCGCCCCATAATTGAATTATCGTTATGTCATCAATCGTCAATGGTTATAAGATTGATTTGATTTCGACTTCGGTAAATGCACGTCCCCAAATGTACAGAATTTAGTAAGTCTCATAAGTGGTATTATGGGAAGGCAAAAAAATGTTGCGAATTTAGGGAAGGTTAAATCTCTCGAATAATATCTTATTAATAAATAAAATTAATAATTTTGTAAATTTGAAACGATAATTAAAATTACTTAAAGTCTGGGTATTACTTTGGACTATAAATATCAATAAATTGCGTAGAAGCCACTTAATAGATCAAGAAATAAGTAAAATAAAATATAATAAACGATACAATATAAAATTATTGCTACAATACTACAATTGCCATAATTAAAGTACTTTCTTACCTTGCTTAATAAATTTACACTGCTTATATGTTAAACTTGAAACTTTAAACAATTAAAAGTACTTAAATTTTATATTTCTAGAATGATTGTGATGCTGTATATGCAAGATATCGATGCTGAATGATCAGATGACTTTCAGGACCCAGCGTTTATCCATACGCGCACCCTGTTTGGAAACACCCCCAACGCGTAGCAGGTGGCAGGATGCATCCCTATATTCATCTCCTTCCAATCTAGGGGAAATATTGCACAAACAGAGATGAATACTGTAGCGATGTGCCAGCCTCCGGAGCTGAATCTCGGAGCGGACCAAGTTTCGCACCCAATAAAATCTCTACGTCTCTTGGTAGACACACCCCTAAATCGATAATGCTATTGTTACAGGAATATAACAATCATTTTAAAATTAATGTTTAATCAATCACAATAAAAATATGTATCATATTGAATAACATCAAAATTATTGCATTTTTAACGATAAGTTTAAATTTTTTTTATTCAAAGTCTTCAGAAATAAGCAATAGTTTTGTCACCAAGGTAGGGAAGGAGATAAACTTTTATTTGTAATAATGCACGCAAATTTTAGAAACTTTCTAGGCTATAGTATCGTAATTCCCAGAAAATTTAAGTCTGTTTTTCTGTTACCATGGAATAGAAAACGTTTCCAAGGATGTGTTTATTCCTTGCTGTGCCTTTCTGGCATTTTACGCTGTCGTATTGACGTTTTCCATTTCGGGTGGCATTGGGCACTTGCGTAAATTATTCGTCCACATTTGCCTGATTTTTATAACTTGCAACAAACAATAGAATCAAATTTTACTTTTATTAACGCTTAACTATAATGTGAAACTGTGTTAGAAGTGAAAATTTTGCGGCAATAATATTTTCTGATTGTGAAAAGAAGAAACCAGAAATTAACATGTCGACAAATTATTCCGCAGCAGATCAAGTAAGAAAAACCGCAAATTATACTTCTAACAATCATTTTTTGATGATTACATCAGACCACTATTGAACTATTACTTAAATTTTAAAATATAAAAAAATATATAGCAATATTGCTTAATTAAGCGAATATACGATTCTAAAATTGTAAACTATGCAATATTTTGTACTATGCTTGTGCTATATTTGATTTTGTTTTATATATAAAAGCATAAAGCTAGGCTGTCAACTCTTTCGGTTTTAATCAATCAAAAACGATTGCGCTTTATTACTCGCTTATTATTCGCGTTGTTTGGCGAGGCCGCGGCGGTCGGCGATGACAAAAGACGACCGCCCACGCTACGCCGACGCAACAAAGTCACCGCGAATGCAAAGACCGGAATCAAAAGCACGGCCCCCGCACAGTGCAAAGCGCGAAACTGCGAGCAGGGGGTAGCGTTGCGGTGCCCCAGGCGGTGCTTTTATATTCTCTACAATGATTACTAAATCGGGAAAAACATGTGCAAATAAACAATTATAAATAAAACAAAGTTTTTATTCATCTAAAAAACGAGTGAATACTTTTTTTGTAAATAAAAATTGATTTAAAAGTAAGTAAATAATTTCAATTAGCTATTAGGTACGTGCCCAAAATAAATGGTTGATGTAGTGAGACGTGTAAAAAGAGATAAACAAGTTAAGTTCTCTTCAGGCTTCGGCAAGTAGGATGTAATACTATATTTAATGGATGCGAGACCCTCATTCAACGCGTAAACACAATTGAATTTGCAGCCGGTGTATCTGGCTGCAAATTCACCCCCTGCACACACGTTCTTGCCTCTAAATGATAATACCTTTCAAATTAAACACATTCAGACCAGTATTAATACTTTACTCAGTGAAAAACCTTTAGAAAAATGATATTTAGTACAAAATAAAAAATTTGCTCTAAATTTTTAAATTTTTCATTTTATTAAAAGGATAAAAGTATAAATGAAGACAAATAAATCTATTTTAATACTGTCCTGTCCAGTAAAACACTTGTATCGGTAGTTTTCTGGTTCTTTACCACTGTAACTCCCCTCTATTGCTTTATATTTTCATCCCTTGTATTAAAACACGAAATGGCTAGATTTTTAGCTGAGGCTAAGTGTAACTACACGTCGAGGACAATTACAAGTGTGCTTGAGCTTGAATTATTATCTAACTGAGGGAGTTACACACGCCCAAAAGTTAGAATACATATTCGTATGTACATATGGTGTGTGCTTACATATTTGTTTACATTTCTATAATCCTCTCATTTATCAAGTGGAATCATGTATGTCACGTATGCGGATTACGATTGGAATGCAAACAATTGCAAACAAAGAGATGAAATATCTAAAAAATGTTATAAGAATTAATTAAAAGTTGACGGAATAAATTTATTGACAAGATGGCAACATTTATAGATTTATTCATTTTTAGTATTTTATAATCAGGTTTTTGATGGCAGGGTTTATTTTCATTGCAAAATCGAAAATATGATTAAATCCACTAAAACGATTGCGTGTCCTTTGACTTTACGTTACTTTCTACTAATGACGTTTCTAATTTAGAGGCTCTCGTGTTTTCTTACAATTTCCGCTTTATTTACGTTGTGAAAACAACTTAACAATACATTATTTTTGATATCCTTTCATATTTCATTCAGTTTAATTGTTTTCTATAATATTATTTGCAATTTAATATTAAACATGCGAAGGAAAACTTAAATAAAGGTATTAGGTATTGTTTTATTTAATTTACATTAATTTATGTATATTATTAATCCGGAGTAACTTAAAATTAATGACTTTCACACCTGTTCATGAACGTATCAAAGGGGATGACATAAATAGGGGGAAGCATTAAACTGGGATAATTGGCGGAGCCTCAATTGAATCCAAAAGAGTTCTTTAATGGACAGAACCATTCAGTATTAATGGTTTGTGTCCTCTGTTATAATTTAGTTCAGTTGAAATTCAATTAATTTTAGAATAAAATATTATAAAATGTAAATCATAAATTACGTATTCGAAAACGAAGATTTTTAAATTAGTGTAGTTTTGGTTGCCTAAGGTCTGCCTTTAGCCACATGGTGCAACATGTGCTAACCTCCCAGTTTTGTATAAAACCCGAGCGAAACATTCAACATATTTCACAACTGTGTTGCATTCCTCATATAAAACAACATAAACTATTAAATCAGTACATATAACTACCCAAAATGGGTACTCTAACTGAAAGTGAATTGTACTGTGATGTGGAAGACAAATTATCCACAATAAACATCTCTCAACAAACTGAAAACACCACAACTTCAAAAGAATCCATTAAACTTCAAGAAAATGAACAATTTGAAGAATATTATGAAGATGACTTCGATGACGATGTCGACGATGAAGATGAAGACTACTTCTACCCTGAAGAAACCAATGTCAAGAATCAAATGCATTCAAACACTCAAACTACCTCCAACAAAATCTCCAGTTACCAACCAAGTGAGAAACTCTTCACTAAATATTCACATAAGATAAATATAGATAAATACAGCTTGCCAACTAAAGCTGCTAGTACCTTGGAACAAACTGAGAGAAAGATAGATAATGAAAGAATGAGATTAAAAGATAAACAGGATAGAGCAACAGCAGAACAAGTTATGGATCCAAGAACAAGGATGATTTTGTTTAAACTATTGAATAGAAACATGATCACTGAGATCAATGGGTGCATATCAACTGGCAAGGAAGCAAATGTTTATCATGCAGTGGATAAAGAAGATAAACAATTTGCTATTAAGATTTTTAAAACTTCTATTTTGGTGTTTAAAGACAGAGATAAATATGTAAGTGGAGAGTTTAGATTCAGACATGGTTACTGCAGGCACAATCCAAGGAAGATGGTGAAAACTTGGGCAGAAAAGGAAATGAGGAATCTGGTTAGGATGCATAATAACAAACTAAATGTTCCTGAACCTATTTTGTTGAGATCACATGTACTGGTGATGTCATTCATAGGTAATTTACAAAATTTAAATAAATTTGATTATTTTTACTATAATTATTATCATATTTAGGTAAAGATGGATGGCCAGCTCCCAAATTAAAAGACGTCGAGTTGTCTGAGTCCCGCGCTAGGCAAATCTACCGTGACATTGTAATAATAATGTGGAAAATGTACAATAAATGTAAACTCGTGCACGCCGATTTGAGCGAGTTCAATTTACTGTACATGGACGGCGAAATCTTTGTAATTGATGTCAGTCAAGCCGTGGAACATGATCATCCGCATGCATTGGAGTTTTTGAGGAAAGATTGCACGAATATTACCGATTATTTCCGTAAAGCGGGAGTTGCGTGCATGACACTGAAGGAACTTTTCGATTTTATAACAAATCCGACCATTACCGATGACAATATGGAAGAATGCTTGGAGAATTTGGCGGAGACTGCTGCGAATAGGCCAGCTATAAGTGCTGAACAACAAGTATGATGAGTTTTAGATTATAATCGACTAGAATTGACGTTTTAAATTGTTATAGGTAGAAGAGGAAGTTTTTAAGAATGCATACATCCCGAAACGTTTAACTGAAGTTATTGACTTTGAGAGGGATATTACACAAGCAAAGGCTGGTGATAATGACTTGGTTTATAAAACATTAATTGGACTCAAAGGGGATTTGAGTGGAACAATTGATAAACCTGAAATATTGGAAAACGACGACAGTGAAGACGACGATGAAGAAGAAGATGATGACGAAAGTGTTGGAAGTAAATTTGTAGATGCTTCGAGACCCAAAGGTGAAAATGCCGATGAGAAGAAGGCGAGGAAAAAGGCCATAAAGGATGCACAAGCTGAGAAGAGAAAAACGAAGATCAAGAAACATATTAAAAAGCGAAAAGAGAAAGTTACTAAAAAATGATTCAGCATAATGTAATAAATAATAATAATAATTGTGTTTTTGATTAAATGATTGATGATATTTAAAAATGCTTTGTTTAATTTAAAATGGGCATTAATCATTTAATCATCTTGTGGTTTATAGTTTAACGACGCGTATGAACCAACGAGATTAGGAAATTGGGAGGTTCCAAAATGGTATCCACCGGGGCCATTACCCCGGCAGGGGAAAACCACTGTCATATCCAATCCTGTGGGGCATTTACTGCCTGGATTTCCGCGGACGAAAAATTCATGGGGGCAGTATTTGGAGACATGGGATATGCCGAAAGTTATCACGAGAAAAATCGGTATGCAATGAATAAAACAATAAAAATGTACATTTTATATTCACACTGTCAAAACGAATATTTTTTATCTGTTTTTATACAGTAATGCAATTTATACCGTATTTTTAGCAAAGGAATTAAGTGCCCCTGCACAATGTCGTGTTGATGTCTACAACAAACGTCTGAAGAACTTTGAATCTTCCCAAAATCGCCGCCGTAAAATCCCCGAAATTCCATCAACATTTAATGAAACTAAACCGGAAGAAACAAAAGTAACCGAGAATGTACACCAAATTAAACGTTGCCCTTGTTTAGGAGATTGTACATGCCTGCATAAACGAACGCCTGTTACTCAAAATACTCATGATGAAGAAGATGTTGAGGAACATCAATTGAAACCATTCCAAGCAGAGCAGGATCCGGAACGTTGCAAAGAGGTAACATATTTGCAACTTCCAAGTGTTTTTTATCTTTAAGTTTGATTTATGCTTCTTTTATGTTTTAGAACCGATATGTTCCTTGTCCTATTCATCACATTTAATAATATATGCACATAAAAAGCTAATAAATTTCTTATTGGATTATTTTGTGAATAAATTTTGTAGGAAAAGTATGTACCCGGTGATCTTACAGAAGATCATCACAAATTAGATACATTTCCACAGTTGGAAAAAGATCTTACTACACAAACCACACTTAAAACACATCCTGAACAGATTGACCCCTTGGAAACATTGAATAATCCACCAGAAGAAATGAAACAAAACGAAGAATTAACGCCATTTCAACAGAAAATTAGCAATCATGAAAATAATACTCCACACCCCGAAGAGGTAATTACACATAAAATGCATGAAACCACGGATTTTGTTGCTGAAAATGAACAAACAAATCCCACTCAGCTCGATGATGGAATAAGAGGTTCGAAAATGAATGTATCAAGGTGCTCATCAAGTAAATCATCAAAAAACACAACGAATTACTGCTATCAACACGAAATGTACAAAAAACATCCGCGTGAATTGAAAAGTTACGTCGAAACTTTGAGAAACTTTGAACTTGCTCGAGAACTACATAAAGTGAATCTTGAGCATGAACCATTACCAGACATGGTGCCTAAAGAGTTTTTTGTGCAGTTGGATAAAAGGCAAGTGCCACCAATACGAGAGAAATCAGCTACAGCTATTGGTTGGAAGGGATATAAAGGTTTTGGTGCAACAAGATGCACAAAACTAAAAGTATTCCGTCCAACAACAAGCCCCGAAATGAGAAAATTCGAAGAACGACAGGATAGTATTTGTAGTTTTGATAAAAAGTGGAGGTTTATAAAGCAGAACAAAGTGAATCCTATGGACTTGGCAATTTGTTGGGACTTAACACCAGAAAATCCAGCGGATGAACCACGAAAAGCGAAGCATATTGATGGATCCAATGGAAGTATTGCTCCAGGAGTGTTTTCTATGGTGGAAACACCAAAAAACAAAGATTTAAATGAAAGGAATGAACCTGTCAGTGGTCGCAATCCACCAGCTGTGTTTGCTGCAATTTCTCAGCCAACTGAAATCAGTAAAATTGGAGATTTTCACGTTTCACGACCACATACAAGCAAATCAACAACAAATTTGAATCATACTTGTTGTGAAGGCCATTCAGATGAATTTTTAAAGCGCGCACAATCTGCATATCATATTAATGCAAATAACGATTATAAAAAACCAAAAAAGAGAGGTTCTAAAGATTCCAAATCAACGAGTTCGAATATTTGCCAGAAACTTTGTTGCAGTGGTAAAATATTCAATCAACGTTTATGTGTGGCTTGTGAGTTGAAATCTTTACCAGAAAAAGAAGAAAAAGGAAAACCGGAGTTCAAACAAGCGCTTAAAGCTGGTGTACCTAATAGTAAATCGAGCAGTGGTTCAACACACAGTTCCCAGGCGCAAATTAAAGTCCCAAAACAAAAAATACCGTATACGAAAAAATGTTACGCAATTAGGAGTTTATCAGCACCGTTTTCTTTGAATAAAGTTAGGGATCGCGAAGATTATCCTGAGCACTGGAGACTAGCTAGTGTGTACCAACATTCATATAAACCTATTCATATGAGAAAGAAATCATTATTAGCTAGTATATTTCAGTAAAATAAAGCCATCAGTCATTATTTTAAAGCTACTTCAGTTTCCTTCAGTTGCTTAGTTTAAAACATTGTAAATTGTATACAAAATACATTGTTACAAATAAAGCTTTCAAATTAAGTTAGGTTTTGGTCCTTGCCAGTGTAAATTACAAACAATCTTGTTCTGTAATCAGATTTAAATCGTCTTAAGCATGTGGCGTTTTTAGCCGTTGCCAAGCAACACAACTTTTTTGACATCTGCCTGACACAAAACTGACAGTAGTAGAAAACACTTTATAAAGTAATGACATCTTCACTGTCGCAAATTCCTGCAGAGTGGAGAGTCGTGATCGCGATCGCGCTGTCTATTAATAATCGCGCGGTCGGTGCACGGTAGGTGCAAATCAACGCCTCAAAATACCAGTGAAAAGCTCTGGCGACGCTGTCAAAATATCACTACTTGCCAAGGTCGGGATTGAAGAGGCCCCTTCGTTCTATAACGAGTTGAATGACATCGGGGGAGAGTGCATACTTGCTATCAGGCATCAGTAACCTTCGGTGGAATATTCTAATCACTACTAAACGATTAAAATAAGGTGCGTATCAGTGTACAAATATCGAGTTACAACTTAGCAATCGCGTTTTTTCAACAGTAGAGACTCGCGCAGTGCGCAGTTTTGTGCTCAAGTCCTAGTAAACATATTGAACCATTCAGGCGTCAGGTTGAATTTCAGTTCTCGATCCCATGTACTCGTAGTTTGTGCCATTCTGGTGAGTGACAACTTTACTCCGTACATTTCATGGAATTTGCGATTGCTGCGATGATTCAAGTCGATTGAGAGGTTATTCAGATATTTTTCAAGTAGCCAACGAAAATATCATCGCAGCGTTCAGTAGTCGCGCGTACGAAAGTCGTCGCCTAAATTTAAATCGTGCTTCATATCGAGTATTTTGTCGAGTGTATGTGATGTGCATGTTGTGATAAATATTGTGAAAGTGCGGCGAGTTGGCGAGAGATTTCAATGTTTCGCTTGTCGAATGCTTGCCAAATCCTTTGTTGTTTGCTAGTCAACGTCGACAGAGTACGGGATTGCTGGATATACAGTGTAAATCAGTGTGCATGTGCGAAGCTGGCTTTTCATCGCTTAAAATAACTAAATTAGGAAACAAATGGTGTGTTTTTCACAGGTTCTTGACTTATTTTAGGTTAAAAAAGTTTTTGGAAGAAATTTTCGAGATGTTTATGTACCAAAATATTAAAATTTAATAACGATGAATGAAACAGTTGATATTATCCTGGAAAATTCAATTTTGGAACTTTTATAAGTTGAATTTATAACGTCGCCCTTTCTCTTTTATTCGGCCTTGATGAAAACCTTCACTAGGGAGATCAAATCATAGTTCTTTATATATCAAGCAGAGAAGGCACTCGTAGAACATTTAAAGCTTGAGATTGACATATAAAATATGCCATACAAAGTGTATGAAGTACACAGTGCCAAAAGATTTGTTTTGTTTGCCTTCTGCCAAAGTCGGGCCAAAGTCTGATACATTTAAGTTCTGCGGTACTGCGTCTCTTGTCTTGACTAAACTTGGCGCGCAGTTCCATTCATTTCGCAACAAATTCCGCTTCCTACTGTTTGCATTCAGTAAATGTTACATGTAAGTTAACCTTGTTCGTGCTTGTAGTGTACACATCGTGTGCAAGTTCTCTGACACGGCTCGATGACATTGATTTTTGAGGTCTTGCTCGCGAGGCAAACAATGCGCGCTCGAATTAGCGATCAGTTCGATTAACATCGATTAAATACAACACAAAGACAACGACAGCAATTTTAATTACTCTATTTGTTTGAATTATTAATTGTGATTTTATACAAAACACTTGAAAACTAGTGAAAGTATTTGTAAATTAAAATTTGCGATACGTCGAAGACCGAAAGTAAATGTTAACTTAATACATAACTAAGCATGCTTTATAAGCAAGTTTCACAAAATTTCACTAGAATTTTAATTGCTTCGTACGTGTTTGGATCTCTAAACAAGTTGTTTCTGTCAAATGTTTGTATTATTTTTTTGCAAACATTTACATCGCTTTGTTTCGATCAAGTTAGTCATTGTTGTTATTAGTAGTTGATTCAGACTTTATTGTCTATCGATGAGTGTACAGTTATTTATAAGATATACATTTTAATTTAATTTAACTTTTATTCAATAGTTGAAGTTTCTCATTGACATTTTCAATCATTTTGTCATAATTTACGAATGAAATAATTGACGCTTTTTTTCCTTTTAGGTTTTCTAAGAATAATTATCAAAATTCAAAATGGAAGCGATGGATGAAGAGTCCACATCAAATTTACACGCTGCTTCATCATCAGCAGCAAAGTCCAGCATCGTAAAGCAATGGCTTGAGAAAATGTCCACCAATGACCTGACGACGGAAACATTTCGTGAGTACTGGCGACGTATGGTTCCTCGAATATACACACCAGCACTAAACGAGTCCTGTCTCAACTGGAACTTCAATGATGAGGAGAGTAATCGCGTTTTGTTTACCCCGCTGGAGGAGTTTATCAATAATGGCGAATCGGCAGCTATAACGGGAGTCAACAGCCCAGAGAAACCTTCCTCTGTCTGTGGTAAGGTCTTTAAATTCGGCGAACCGACATATATGTGTCGTGAGTGCGGCGTCGATATGACTTGCGTACTCTGCGTCGACTGCTTCAAGAAGTCCGAGCATCGCTTTCATAAGTACAAGATGGGTGCGTCCAATGGTGGCGGATGCTGCGACTGCGGCGATGTGGAAGCATGGAAAAAAGCGCCTTTCTGTGATATACATATTAAAGGTGCCCAAGCCGATGAATCGTCTCGAATCTTACCCCTGACCTGGCAGCAAGAACGAGGGTTGTCTTCGATGCGGTATTATCGTATGCTTATAATCTGTTAACACTTGAAAATCACAGCGCGTTGAAGCTGAAGGATCCCGACGATGAGCTCTTCGAAAGCGACACTTTCTGCACTGTCCTGTACAACGATGAAGTGCACACCTTTGAGGCAGTAATACAAACCATCAGCAGGGTAATTAAATGCTCGCAGAAGCACGCTATAGAATATGTCACGAATATAGATCGCGAAGGGCGCGCAGTTGTTAAATGTTCAAACTTTCAACACTGCACCGAACTCCAAAGTGAGATTGAAAAGATTACGTCTCGTCATGGCAATAAACCGCTGATTGCATTAGTTGTGCATTCGCATATTGTGGCGCATCAGATTTTTGCCATGAAGTTGCTCTCTTGGTTGCAGAAGTTTTTAGGCAATGGGGAGGGTTTCAGAAAGATTTTTGCCGAGGTCGGACTGAAGCCCCAGCCAAATGATGAACCTTCAATTATAAGAGGAATTTTAGTAAAGGACACGAAGCTGTGGAAAAGCGCTCGAACCCATTGGCATCGACTACTCATCTCTGGTATGCTACTTGAATACGAAAATAAAAAAGCTCTCGCGAAAATCTTTACGAAAAACTACGGTAGTTTAATGAAGGACTTCATCAAGGACGATCACGATCACACCTTTTCTGTATCATCGCTATCTGTGCAATTGTTCACAGTGCCTACGCTAGCGCATCATTTAATAGCAAATGATGATGTTTTATTTATATTGCTGAACACGTTCCTTTCCGAATGCGCATATAAATGCAATGCTCAACGAAAGCTTGAGTTTGAACGTAACAGTCCCACAATGCAAGGTCTCAAGCGGGCGCACTACATTTTATATGATCTACGGTATCTACTCAGCGTCGTTCCCGATGAATGGACTGATGATTTACGCAGAAGTTTCCTACAGGGTTTCTCCTTGTTTCTTAACCTACTATCAATGATGCAAGGAATGGATGCTACGACAAGGCAAGTCGGTCAACACATGGAATACGAACCGGAGTGGGAACCAGCGTTTAACTTGCACATCAAGTTAGCTTTCTGTATTTCTCTGATTTTGAAATGGTGCGGCACTGATAAGGTGGTGTTGGTAAAGGCGTACAGAGCTACATTAAGCAGTCTGTATAATGACTTGGTTGATAATGTTAACTACGATGTCAATGATCAAGGAGAGATACGCGAATTAAAAAATTACAGTATTCTATGCCTGCAGTATGATGTGTCAACGAAACCAGTGTCTATTCATCTACCACTATCGAGAATGCTGGCCGGGTTACATTTACACCTCGAAAAATATGGGTTGAGTTTTGATGGTACTGAATTTCAGTGTAAGAAACCCACTCCTGTGCAGATTATTGAACCTGTGTTGCGGACTCAGGTGATGATTGCGCAAGTTCACGCGGGCATGTGGAGACGTAATGGTTACGCGTTATTAAATCAACTCTTCTTTTATCATAACGTTAAATGTCGTACGGAGATGTTGGACAGGGATATAACCCTGTTACAAATTGGTGCCTCGCTTATAGAAGGCAACGCATTCTTGATTCATTTACTAAACAAATTTGGTTTATTAAATTGGACTTCTCCCAACTTTGATCACAACTCGCTAAGAACGAGTGAAGATGACAGTATGCGGCAGACGATTAATTTGATTGAAGAGTTTCTTCAGTTATTGATTGTCATTGTTGCTGAGCGACACGTGCCAGGTATTAGTAACTGCACTGTTGATGATAGAATAAAAAGGAGGTAATTCAACACCTATGCATGAAACCACTGTCGCATTCAGAGTTGAATAAAACAATTCCTGACGATTTGACACATGAAACAGGTCTTGATGATGTGATCGGACAACTGGCGGATTTTAAAAAGCCGACTATTGGTAATGGTAAAGGTGTTTATGAGTTGAAGAACGAATTGTATGAGGATTACAATGTGTTTTATTATCATTACACCCGTGAAGAATTGTCGAAGTCCGAGGAAGCGCAACGCAAACGTCGAAAAACCGCAGGAGAGTTGGAATGTGTTCCACCGCCAAAGCTACCAAAGCTCAATCCTTCTTTTGACATGCTTGTGAACCTCCTGCAATGTGATATTATGCTTCATATTCTACAAACCGTCCTCATTACATCACTCAACCTGCAATCACGGGTATTTTCTGAATTACAACTGCACAAAGCTTTGCATTTGATCGGCTTTGCTCTACAAGAAGAAGAATCTAAAACTATCCGTTTTTGGAGTTTAGTGAGAAAGCAACCAGGTGGAAGCTTCCTTCATTATTGGAGGAGCTTAGTAACAGTCCACGGGTGGAAGCCCAGAACGGATTGATCCAGTGGACTATTAACAAATTTAAGCAAGTTATGAAGGTTGATGCGACGATATCAGCATCAGTTGCAAAATCTGAAGTTATTGATAATGAATCCCTGAAAGCCGATGCGGAGAAGGAGCGGAGAGCTAAACTGGCAGCTGAGAGACGTGCGAAGATAATGGCACAAATGCAAGCCCTGCAAAACAATTTTATGAAGGAAAACGCTTCTATGTTTTCTGGCACTACATCAGAAACAAGCAAAGAAGAAATTATGGATACATCCGAACCGGCTGATATGGTTCCCGTTGCACTTGGCTTGAATCAAACGCAGAGGATAATAACAGATGATAAAATGTACACTTGTATACTCTGCCAAGAGGAACAGAAAGTCACCTTGGATAAACAACCGATGGTTTTAGCCGCCTTTGTTCATCAGGCGACCGTTTTATGCCAACAACGAAACTATGATTATTTGCTCGATCATCAAGATTCTTTATACTTGAATACTAATCTAGGTCCCGCACCGCATACGAGCACCTGTGGGCATGTCATGCATCGTTCTTGTTGGCAATCATATTACGACAACGTGGTTGTCAAAGAACATCGTCGTCCTTACCGGTTCCGCAGTCCTGCAAGCTTCGACGTTGACAAACAAGAATTTCTTTGCCCGCTGTGTGAATGTTTAAGTAATACGGTTCTATTATTATTGCCAGCGTTAAGTTCCGTTCAGGAAGCACCTCCAAAGAGTGAAATCAATTTCGAGACGTGGTTAAGCTGCATGGAGACAACCATCAGCAAAAAGTTGAAATTATCCCATGGCAAATGCAATAATGAATCTTGTGCGAATCATTCATGCAACACTTGCACTTCGGATGGTAACGCCGCACCCAGCGGTACAAACGATGCACCAGAGTGCGACTTGAACTGCACTGTCCCTACCCACCAAGTGTACAAGCCAATGTCAAAGGGACACCTTATAGATCAATTGGGCGATGACGTTAAAGATTTCATTACGTTATTCCCGACCAAGTCACCGAACCTGGACGCGAGCCTAACCGATATGGTTCAATTGTTCACACAGGTGACTTATACACGTGGATTGAACCTTTATCCCCATCCAACCGATCGAAGATTAACACCGATGTCATGGAAATCTTGCGCGTATACTATTCACTCTATTGAGACCATCCTAAGGGATAGTAACAAACCGTTGTTGAATTTGTCGAGTAGACATAGAGATTGTCTTGAGAGTTTGGTACGTATCCTAGGGGTGATGGGTTCCGCTTTGCCCAAAATCAGCGTGGTTATTTCAAGTCATGCATTGTGTTTGCTATCGATGATTTTTGAACATCCCAGCGACGGTCCTTCAATACTTGATTGGGATTCGTTTGGTTTGTTGGTGCCACTAACATTTTCCTTGCCGAGTTTATTCTGTAAAGAGGAACCCACCCCTGTTCCTACCGGCAGTACGCTCGAACATCACACTCTGCGCTTAGTGTTTATCAGTCACATTGTAAAAATTTTAATCACTGGCGAGTTTAAGGCTTTCGATGAAGATATGGATGTTAATTTTGATGCCAAACCAGCACCTAGTGAGAATAATGAAGTCCTCGTGAAGATTCTTCAAATGCTTCGTCGTGATGTTGGTAAAATATCAGCGACGCAGATTTGGTCACAAGTTAAAGATGCTTGTATACCTTTCCTGAGATGTTGTGTACTTTTGTATCATTTTATGACTGATGTGCCAGCACCGCCCGCATTGTTGGAAACCGATGGTGACACATTTGAAAATATGTGTTCTTATCTGGATTTACCGACATTGTCCTACGATCTCTTCAAGTCAAATCGAGTGATGGACCAGGTTAAGAAATGGTGTGATCATGATGAAGTCCAGAATTATTGCGCTGGCACTGGTACCATCATAGCTAACATTGTTCGGGAACCTTTGCCAATCAATAGTTTAGTCCAGTTACCACAGGATTATAGCGAGCTGATCAATACAGTCTCTTCATTCACATGTCCCAACAGTGATCAAGAGGACTCCCGCAATCCAACGATGTGTTTAGTCTGCGGAGAAATCTTATGCTCGCAAAGTTACTGCTGTCAAACGGAAGTAAACAAGGTGATTATGGGCGCGTGTAATTATCACGCGCATAAATGTGGTGCAGGTATTGGAATATTCTTACGGGTGAGAGAATGCGAGATTATGTTCCTCGCTGCGCCTAGTCGAGGTTGCTTCGTGTCACCGCCTTATCTGGATGATTATGGCGAAACTGATCCAGGATTACGCCGTGGTAATCCACTGCATCTGTGCAAGGAGCGCTACAAGAAGCTGGAGTCGCAATGGTTGAACCACAGCATTTACGAGGAGATCTCTCGGTCCATGGAGGCAAACAATTCGATTATGCCTACGCAATGGCAGCACCTGTAGATCATCTTTTTTCCAACTGATGTTGTACTTATCAATACGATGCTTATATTGACACTCAAGCAATGCAACCCCCATATGCAAAATACCAAAAAGAAGAGTGATGTATATTTTACTCGTAGCCTTAGTAGCACTGACGCAAGAATTGCTTTAACATTAACAAGTTTCATCATTTTTTCTGTATTACTCTATCACTGTTTGATGCGTACGCGCACCTGGACATTATTTTAGGGAGATTGTTTGCAACAAATGCAAATTTGGACAAAAGTGTATCTTGAATGTAACGATGGAAATGAATGATTTTGGAAAAGTGTATAATTAACTTGTATAGAGTATATTAGAGTATCTTTAGCGCAATGCGTGTTACAGTTGATATAAATAATTATTGTACATAATTTAGTTTTGAATTGGTCGGGCGCCTTGGGTGCTGTGACACTACACATGAATCGGTGAAATCTTTGTGGATCATTACAGAAGAGTGTGAAGGACAGGATAAGAAATTTAGTTTTTTTTCTCTTGGATTTTAGTCACAAAATCACTTGTTGAATCTAATATTAATAAACAGTTTACAACTTTCCATTTTGGGCCGATTAATACCAACTTCGCATATTATTTCTGTGTGGGGAAGGTCCTGTAAAATAAGGAAAGGATAATATATTGGAACGTATTTTGGGTTGCCTAGGATATACACTCATTTTAATATAAATTATGTACTTATAGAATGTACCAACTAAAATAACATTAACTAATTAGAATCAACCTAAATGGCAAAAGTTATGAGACTATTGACCGGCAAAAAACCGCACCGGACAAACGAAATCAATAATTTTAATACGTTGCGGTTTGTCTGGAGTTTGTTGCGCTCTTGAAGCACACGATTTGAACGAAATAATGCGCAATAAGTCACCATTAGCGCACCAATTCATACCCGGCGTTTCCGTCGCCACACGTCACCCGATCGCCATCATTAATTCGTTTCCTCAATGTGTAGGCCCATTAAACAAACCTGCGATTCGATGACACACATGCCTCTTCGTTTTTACTTTTCGTCGTCCCAGCCAGAGGACGTAGTACTGGTTCCACGGGCACGATTTTTAATTACAAAATTAAAAAATGTTTTGCTAATTTGCGTTATTTATAACGTTAATTAGCGCGCTGCTCAACAAAACAAGAAATAATACGAGAGAAAAATTAACTATGTATTCGGTGTTTTTTCGTTGGTTTGTTTAGTTCGGAATTTTTTAATTCTCGAAAAAGGCAGAGCTCGATGAGCTTCGACGAAGAATTTCTCGTGATAGTTGTGTTTGATTAAGAAACAGGACGATTTCCATATTATACAAATTTAGGCTTAATTAATTTTGAGGCCCGCTTGTAACGAGCTGTGCGCTGGAGAATTCTTCGGCGGCGTTTCTTCGTACGCACCACACATGCCTACCATGCCTCCGTACTCGAAGCTCCGCGCCACGTTGCATGTAGCCCGCGGGAGACTATCACATAAATTACAATCTAAAAAATTGCGCCATTGGCTCGTCTCCTCACCTCAATCCCCACTTTGCTTTCCGATCACAGCGCATATTAAACGAATGTTACCAATGTTACCATTTTTACCAGTTCAACATCATAATGTTGTGTTTTTGTTTACATTGATATTCGTATCAACGCCGCATTTATAAATATAAAGTTTATATATCACGCGCATTGCAATTGTTATTACTCGCTTGGTTTATATTTTAATTAACGACTTTATCGCGTCTGTCAGCGGGCAGTAAATCGCTGGCGAAGAAAATAATACGTGTACAACACCGTCTGAATGTGTAATTCGTTTATCGTTTTCAAGAAATGTACAACAACACATAACAAACGCTTCGGTATGCGCATCACAATAATCACAAGCGCGTTATTAAAAACCCATCTGTTACATCGGGCTGGATGACAAGACGTGGATGGAGGTTGGTTATCGACCGCACATTTATTTTCCCAGGTGATTCAGGAGTTAATTAAACGTTTTATATGTTTTATCACGTTTAATTTACAGTTTTTGGTTGGAAATACTTCAAATCTAAACTAAACTCAATATTTTTTAAATTTTCAATGCAAATTGCAAGAAATATTTAAAAATGTTTCTCTGAATTTTAATTCTTATCATATATGAGTGAGTTTGGCCCCACATGAAGGTTAATGCATCCTGCAACAATTTTTTCATCTTCACCACACGAATCTCAGGATGTGACGAGCCAAGTCTTCGTGTAGAATCCGTTGCATCCCAAATGCGTATGGTTTTCATGCTTTCATAATGATTCTATAATGTTAAATTAATAACGATGGGGAATTTATATATTTCTCGACTTTAATAATAACAACCGCGCGAGTTTATGATGATCCACAATGTACTGCTTCAAGTTTCGGGCTTCGGATGGAACAAAAAAGCATACAAGATAGGAAAACGCCGAAATTTTGTAACGCTACGGCATTTTGAACGTTTGCAAGGATACAAGGATACGTGAGTTAATTACACTGATATAACTTGATAGAACAAAGTAAAAACGAATTACATTTTTATTAAACACTGCCGGAACGAAGTCGCGGGCAACAGCTAGTAATTAAATATTGTTTACCAATGGTGAAGAAATTGATACGATTTGACTCCTCCGGCTCGATTGCACACATTGCGCACCCCGCGTTTCCAGACAGAACAATTTGTCATTCGGATTCGATAAATAAGCACGTTGCATGTGCGCGCTAGGCGAGGTTTTATATAATTCGGTGTGCCGCATTAATAATGGATGATTACCGATGGGGTGCCGAGCGCATAGGTCCACGTCTCGCGCGCTCGGCGATAAAAATTCAAATTCGTAGGGCAGCGCAGCCCGCCGCGCCCGAACCCGAAGGAGCAGGTCGAAATCAGCGGGTATTCAACTGCTTTCCTCTATTCTACAGCCCGCCTGCTTTTTTTTTACACACACACACACACAGCGCGACTTCTTCACGTTCGTTTTTTTAATTTCTCGGCTTGGAAATTTCTCTTTTTTGAGACGCTCCCCACTTTGCGCTACAAATCGTTTCATATTTCAAATTTATTTACAAAAACATACAAAGCGCACCACGAAACACTCGCCTTTTTGGAAATCTGATCGTGATTATGACCGTGATCGTTAAAACAAGTTTCGTAAGTCCGAGAATTGAAAAGTCACCACAGATTCAAATATAAATTAAGTTGATTGTGAATTTATTACATGTTTTAAATTTTTGCATGCCGCAAGAAGGTTATAAATATTATATCAATCATTACAGCGATTTCCGCCGCCAAGTTTATTATCCAGCCATCATCGTGATGGCAAAAAGAATTAAAAGCGACGTGCCCGTCCATTATTTTGCTCCGGGATGATTGGAGGCTTATCTCGGGGAATAAATGCTAATCTAGCGCAGTGAAAAAGAAGGAAAAACGCTCTTCCAGCGCTCCGTGTGCGCGTGTATATGAATAAAACGGTGCGTGGACATTATTCATACGTATAAATGAGGCAATGACCAGTGAGTGATGTGCGCCCGGTCGATACGATGGTAGTAGTATATTTGAAGATTATTCCATCTTATTATATCATAAATCTTTACGCCTATGGCTGCCTGTGTCCTCTTCGGCGCTCACCACACGAAATTGGAAGCCTGAGCCCGGGCCCCGGTGGCCGCCGTTGCCGCGATTGTGATCAATTTTTTACCAACAGATTTGAAGAAATATAAAGTTGCTAATTATACGTTAAGCACATAACTTATAGCTTGTATGTGTATATTAAATTAAGCATAATTGTCGGCTGATAAATAATCCTATCGGATCCATTGTTGTTGGAGAACTCAACTTTTAGACGTATTTTTAATGAATTTTTATTAATCAAAGCTTGATTTGATTCCTGGCATGTTTAAAATAATAATTTCTTCTGTTTTGGTTTGGGGAAATGTGTTGAATCTACACAGACGCAACACGATATCTTATGGTTTTGGCGTATATGCCGATTTACATTCGCCAAATTTAAAAACTTATTACGCTGACGGTGGCGTTAATATTATTTGTGTTGTGTGTAATTGCAATTTCATAGCGATTATGTTTTTACGCGTCGACTCGCCGGTTCATCGGTCTGGGCCGGGCAAGAGTAGAGTGTATGTGAGAGTGCGAAACGATCCGACCGATCTGCTCTCGTTTCGTATTGAGTTAGGTCATGTTCGTATTGTGGGCGAATTTTTTCAAATTCGATTTATTACCAAAAACCATCAATTTTCAAAACTGGTATCAGTATTATTAAATTTACAAAAATTTCTGTGTATATAAATCATAATCTCTGAAAATGAGTGATTGTGTCAACGTAGGGGAAAGTTTGAAAATTTTTTCCGACTTTTCAAACTTCTCCCGGTCGAGGAATTAAAAACGAAGAAGATAAAAATACGTGGAATAGATTTACGATCGAGAGCTAGTCCATCTGACATCGTCATAAATATTGTTTATGTTTAGGCATCGCAGTGCGGTAAAAACGGCGCGGAACAGGTAGAAGGTAGAAAAGGCAGCAGATAGATAGGCCGCTAAGTCGTGTTAGGTATGCGCCGGTGCGAGCGGAGACTGATCGACTGAGCGCGGTGCGGCGGCGCGGTGAAGAGGTGACCGACGCGCGCCGTACACGCTTGGCAACGCCGAAGAGGTTGAAGAAGTCCAAAGAAGTCTGTGGTGCGCGCTCGCTCTCTTCGTCTGGCTTACACACATTGGCGCACTGCTGCTGCGATCAACTCCTCCCAGCCAGGTAAATATCTTGCTTGGGCATCGTGGCCCAGTAGTGAATCGCGCGCGGTACGAGCTAAGTCACCTCGAGAGTTCTCCGTGCGGCCGCGGACACTTTTGACTTAAGCTCTTAACCAACTTAGAAACACGACACGTTCCTGTGTGCAGTTTATGTGAATATAAACAACGAGTTGACATCCAATCGATACGTGCACATCCCAGTGTATGGCAATAAATCAAAGTGGGGTTGCAATCAAGTGTTAATGAATGTGCATCACACGTCGAAATTTTATCTAGGCGACATTCGAGGAAATTGATTTCGATTTGATTCGGACTTATTGACGAGCGGCGCACGGCAGCCAAACGACGAACAGGTAACACAAGTCGGCCGGGCAGCGAGGAAGAAGAAGAAGAAGAAGAAAAAGCAGCAGCAGCAGCAGCGGCGAGAGGAGCGAACTTGAGGCTCCTTGAAGCCAAGAGACGAGCACCACCACACCACCAGTGTATCAAGTGTTCGGCCATATTGCTGCATACCAGTTCGAGCGAGAGCGCGACATGACCTCAGCGCGCTGAACGCGACCGGACATCTCCAGAGGCTGGACGAGTTCACCTGGACGCTGCGCACCGAATGGAATGTTAGATCGCGCACACGTGGAGCGCAATAATGCAATAATGTCCGCAATTTGGTACCCGCAAGGTGTTCAAGGTGATACCAAGTCTGGATGATACCACCTTTACTCATCAAACAATTAGACTCATCATGAAGATGAACATTTTATTGTTCTGCAGCACCCTGCTGTTGGTTGGTGCGCAGGGACCTGGGCCTGGGCCTGGACCCGGCCGGAAAAGGTCCACGACGGAAGCCACTTATTCCAATCAGATGCAATCACGCGCAGTGGATACCAGAATCACTCTAGAAGTGCTCGAAGAGCAGCCTAGAGGAACTTCTGTAGGACGCATCCCAATTAAACCGGAATTCACCTACAGATTTAACGAAGCTCCCAAGGAGTTTACATTGGATCCTGAGACTGGGGAAATTAAAACCAACGTGGTGCTTGATAGAGAATCGTTGAAAACTGACAGATTTGACCTTGTGGTTTTATCAAGTCAACCAACTTATCCAATTGAGGTGCGGATTATTGTAGTGGATATCAATGACAATGCTCCAGAATTTCCGGAACCTGTGATTGCTGTTTCTTTTTCGGAGAGTGCAGCATCCGGAACCAGATTGTTATTGGATGCTGCAACCGATAAAGACTTGGGGACCAATGTAGTCTCGGATGATTACCGAATTATAGCTGGGAATAAAGACAACAAATTCAAATTGGTCGTGACTGCGAATCCAACAGGAGAGACATCTTATCTTCATTTGGAAACCACAGGAAAATTAGACCGGGAAAATCAGGGATTTTATATTTTAAACATTTCGGCAAAAGATGGTGGTATACCAGCAAAGCATGGATATCTACAAGTTAATGTCACTATTTTGGATGTCAATGATAATCCACCTATTTTTGACCATAGTGATTACATAGTATCCTTGAATGAAAGTGTACCACCAGGAACTGCAGTCCTGCATGTAATGGCGACTGATAATGACTTTGGAGACAACGCTAAAATCACTTATTATCTGGCGGATACAGAAAGACAATTTACAGTTGACCCGGAAACTGGATTCATCACTACAATGGAATTCCTTGATTGTCCACAACAGAGCTGCTCGCATACAAAATCAAATTCGAAGAATTGTCCCAAAAGTTGTATTTTTACTGTGTTTGCACGAGACCATGGTATGCCTCGCCAAGATGGCCGCACTTATGTGACAGTGAATCTTGTGGACGCAAACGATCACGATCCCGAGATTAAATTCAACTACTTTCAGCCGTCGGCGGAGTTTGCCACAGTGGATGAAAATACCAACAATGGTTCAGTGGTGGCTGCTGTAACTGTGGAGGATATGGATGAGGGACCAAATGGTGAGACTAAAGTGCGTATTGTGGCTGGTAATGAACTGAACCACTTTCGACTGGATTACTCCGCGAGTTTTGATATTGTGCGCGTAAACGGAGTACTCGACCGCGAGGAAATCAGTAAATATAATTTGACAGTTGTGGCCACGGATATGGGTACTCCACCGAGGACTGCCACAGCATTTCTCATCATTCATGTAAACGACGTCAACGATCACGAGCCAGTATTTGAAAAGTCTGAATATTCAGCAGTATTAAGTGAATTGTCTCCTTCGGGGACCTATGCGGCTGGTATAACAGCAACCGATGAAGATTCTGGTGTTAATTCACAAATTTACTACGCGTTTGTTTCTGGCAACGATAATGATTGGTTTGATATTAATTCCGAATCAGGATTAATAACCACGAAAAACTCTTTGGATCGAGAGGTTCAAGGCAGTGTTGAGTTGAATATCTCCGCAAGAGATGGAGGGCCTAATCCAAAGTGGGCTTACACACAATTAAAAGTCACGATTCTTGATGAAAATGATGAAGCACCTAAATTTTCACAAAACAATATAAACGTCTCCCTGTCTGAAAATACACCACCTAAGACCTTGGTAGCCATGTTGACTGCTGCTGATCATGATCAAGGAACAAATGGAAGTGTCACATACAGTTTACATCCTTTGGTGCAACAGAAATATCCGGATACATTCACTTTGGATGCTTTAACCGGACAACTCACAACCAAAACTAAGTTAGATCGTGAAAAGATTTCTTCTTATGATATCATAGTAATCGCAAAGGATCAAGGTGTACCCCCACAATCATCAACGGCAACTGTGCATCTCCAAGTGTTGGATGTGAACGATAATAACCCGGAGTTCTATCCGCAAAAGTATTTCATCACTGTGCCGGACTCTGTGGCGAGCGGAACAATTCTAACAAAAGTAACTGCTGTGGATGCTGATGAAGGAGAGAACGCAATGATCACCTATCGATTAGAAAGCGGTGGTGATGGTCTGTTCATCGTAGACGAATGGACCGGTGCTGTGACCATCAAGGGTAACCTTCGCAATTCTCAGAAACCCTTCTATCGGCTCAAAGTAAGCGCTAGGGATCACAGCGAACATGCCGCCAATGAAGATGCTATTGTTGAACTGATGAAAGAATCTTACGTTGAGGAAATACATTTTGACAGTTTCTCGGGATATGAGTTTCAAATCTTAGAGGATCATGCTCAGCATCCGAGTAAGATTGGTCGTGAAGTTGGCAAGGTTTCTGTGCGTGGTGCCGACAGTGTTAGTTACTATATTACATATGGTGATCCAAAACATAACTTTAAGATAGATGAATACACAGGCAGTATTACAACGGCTAATAAAATTGATCGTGAACAACAGATGATGTATACTTTAAGTGTTGTGGCACGTGTGGGTTTATCCTATGGGAAAACCACTGTGACGATATCAATCTTGGATTTGAATGATCAGAAACCTATATTTTTGCGTGATCGAGAAGATGTGAAATTATTCGAGAATGCCGCTGTTGGCCAGGATGTTTATCTCGCACGTGCAAGAGATTTGGATGCTGGGATCAACAGTAGAATAACCTATAACCTCAGCTACAACCCCTTTGATCAATTTAAAATCAACGAGGCTACTGGTGTTATTTATCTCAATAAACCTATTACTGCTGAACCTGGAACAGTTTTACATGTTGATGTTGTCGCTTCGGATGGAGGTGATCCTAGATTAAGCTCCAAACACATTGTCAACATCATCATAGAAGATGTTAATGACCATACTCCAATATTTGACCACACGTCTTATGAAACATCTTTATTGGATATTGATACTAATACTGGTTTGCTATATCTGCACAAATCTTTGGACTATGAAGATTTGAATGTGTATCATTTGAATATCACTGCATCAGATAATGGTAATCCGCGATTGTCCACCACAATCACACAGACAATATACGTTCTTGATGCTAATGATAATCCACCAAGTTTTCCGAATACTGCAATTGTGAGGCAGATCAGAAGGTATAAGGGTTCACACCCCAATAGTGACAGTTACAGCAGAAGATCCCGATTCGGGGATTAATGGAAAAGTCACCTATGCGATATCAAAACAAGAACCTCATACTTATCAAAGACATTTTGCTATTAATCCACAAACTGGAGTCATCCACACTTTACTACCAATTGACAGAGAACAGATTGATACTTTTAGGTTAACTGTGATTGCCACTGATGAAGCTATTCCAATAAACAAACGTCTATCAGCAGAAATTGGTTACGGTGATTGTGGAAGATGTGAATGACAATGCTCCTGTGTTTGTTTCAATGAATTCAGCAGTCCTGCCGAAAAGTGCTAGTTTTGAACGTCATTACACTGACAGTAACCACATCATGAATATTTTTGCCAGGGACTTAGATTCTAGCACCAATGGACTTGTCTCTTATGAATTAACCAGTGGGAATAGTGATATGTTTCACTTGCATCGCAGTACAGGAGCTTTAACCTTAAAGAAACCATTGGTGAATCCCGAAGCTAGGTATAAGTTATCCGTAAGGGCCACAGATGAAGCTGTGCAATCAGAAAGAAAGTCTACAGATGCTTATGTCACTATTATCACTGAAGGTGGTAACAATCGAGGTGGAAATTCAGCTGGGCCTGTTTTCGCCGAGGAGGGTTTCAGCGGTGCAGTGTGCAAGCAGGCAATCGGCACAATTATTTATACAGTGCGGGCGATAGTTACGGCGGGGGTGTCGCGGTTTTGCCAACTAATAGTGCCGCGATAGAATATTACGTGACCAACGTGACGAGTCGCGGCATGCAAGTTGACAGACTGTTCGACATCGATGCGCGACTTGGTGTGCTTTCCACCGCTGTTGAGCTTGACAGAGAGATAGGATTAGATTATGACCAGGTAGAGGTGTATGCCATTGTGGTTGCTTTGCGCGGATTCCGCAAGACCATAAAACTAGGTAAGGGTGATTGGTGTGTTGAAATGATTTCGTAATTATTTGCAATGTGATTTAAATAGTTAATTAATTAAGTCGCGTTTTAATCGTCGTGTGGTTTTTTAGGAGCGCATTGCGGCATTAAATTAGCAAGCATCTATCGTACGATAATCGTTAATTAAAATGGTAGCCCGAATTAATCAAGTTACAAAGAAAAATGTTTACGATTTATTTTGTACGCGGTGTGGCGTGTAGTTGCTGTCGAGAGATACATAATTAATTTACAAATTGGTGATTAATTAAAAAGGTTTTTAACTTTTGATTTTAGCATTTTGTTGTATAAACAACTATATATTTAGTATATTATAAAATTTCTACCACTTTCTATTCGTAAAAATGGTGACAATTCGTCGTTAATTTCTTATATCCAGCTTATTTGGAAATTAAAACAACTTAGCAATCGATTCTTCAAGCTGCTGTGCTGTAATTATCCTCGTTTTGTAGTTGTAATTGAACCATTAATTTTTACGAGTTGTTGTGAGGTCCGTAACGAACTAACCGAGCAGATAACGACCTTTTTTCGAAAACAACAACGATTCCTTATTTAGCAAAAAATAAAAGCAAAAAAATTAGTGAAAGTTTTTAGCGGAATCGGCGAATTTTAGCAAATAATTAATCCTCAGCTAATTTTAAATCTTTTTTATTATTTTTCCATGAAATTATTTGATTCAGCGTGAATTGTCTCCGTCTGGGCGCGTTCACAGCTTTGATATGGTCCGTTTGCAGGCCGACGAGAGTGAGCTTAATGCGCTTTCGTTGTTCAGTGCACATATCTCGCGATATTCTCCTATCGCCGTACTGATCTCACTCGAAGCGTCGCTTAAACCAACACTTGCAGTCTGCACCATTCAACAGAAATAGAGAATGCGAGATTCGCCGAGAATTCAGTCTTTTTTAATTCGCAAGCTGTAATTTAATTATTACCAGAAATTAGCAAGTTTTTACATTGAGAGAGAACTTCAAATATGAAGTAATCGAATATTAAAATTTATGGAGTTTAAATTGTGGCGTTTTGTTGATTAATTTTTGCAATTATCTCAATGAATAGATTCGAAAAAGCGATTACCAAATTGTGTCGGACACGACATAAAGCATTCGGCGCTACTGTACGCCAAAAAAAAGGTGTTAATTCCAACATGGAGCATGAAATATGAATCTGTCAAAGCTAAATTAATGCCAAATCTCAACGGATACGTTAAATTAAATTGTGAGCGGAAAAAAATAGAAAGTAATGCACTGCATTCGGAGTGCGTTGAAATTTAAATTTGGAGCTGGCAATTTATTGCATTAGGATTAAAACATCATGAATTATTCATCAGATTCGTACACTTTGGACCGCAGACAGAGTTTAGTGTAATTATTAATTCATTTCGATTTATCATCAAATATATAGAAAAAATATATAAATATAATTAGGACAACCATTATAATGTCAAATACAAACACTCATGTATAATTTAAACTTTAATCAAAGGATTAACTTTTTCATTAAAAGCATTTATTCTTATTTTATTTGTTATTTGAAAAGTTGTCTCGGATATTACGTTGTCATAACTCTAGAGAGTCAAATTTTTGATTGAACGAGCAAATTTTACTGTTGCGGTTAATAACTGACTAAACACGCCATAGGAAAATTTATTCCCTAGTGATTTATGTCGTTTTAGCAACGCGTTTGTTAGTTGTTTGCTGCCACCCTGATTAATGACTTAATAACTTGTCATCTAATTATAAAGCAGATTGCGTAACATTCGGCAATATAAATTAAAATATTAAACGGTCGTTTGTAACCTTGATATCCAAAAAATTCAAAATGGCCGAGCAGGAAAGTATTTGAAAAGCGCGCGCGCCCACGACGAGTTAATTTCGATGATTGCGCTTCGCATTGTTTGCTTTTTAATTTTCTGTCATGAGCATTATTTATTTATTTATTTCGCCTGTCCAAGCCCGTAGGCTTCCTACAAGGATAACCGGGAACGGCGCGCATCTGGCGTGTGCGCACAGCATTCTCAGAACAAAAATCACAATAATATTAATAACGATTTGGTTTTTACATGAATTATTCATTGCATTATAATGCCAATCTGTCGGTTGTATCTTTGATTAATTTTTCGACGTCAAATGATTTGCGTGGATCTGAAAATTTTTCTATTTATCCACGAAGGTTATGTTATATTAATCTAACCTCAATGTTTTGACAGCGATGACATAATTTCAATTCAACCATTTTGAAAATATGAATATTTTTGATAGTGGTTGAACTATTTCAATGTCTACGAGTTTTACATAGTTAACATATTGCTGCGGCAGTCTGGACGAGAACATACCTGCGATGTATCATATTACGTCTTCAGCGCAGAGGTGCGTCGCCTCTGTGTGTAGATGTGTATGTGTGTCGCGTACAAAATCGCAATACGACACCGGCATTCTTCGCCCGAGAGGGACAAAACAACATAATGTCGGCTTGCCCTGAACAATGCACTGCAAACTCAAAGTAGCGATGATAGTTAGGGACGCGCAACGTGTGCAACATGACGCGATTACAATTTTCCAACACTTTTTGAATATATGTACAAGAACGTGTATGTTTTTCAGTTTGCTAAGTGCACAATTAACAATGCAAACATAAAGAAATTGTTAATTTATATCATTAAAAAAGGATGTAAAATTTGTTATGAAATGCGGCTATAAATTGAGAATTGTTGCGCTCTGGCGCATTCACAGAGCTTGAATGAAGCGAAAAAATGCCGCGGGCACTGTCAACGTCGTAAAACGTTTGTTTTGCGCGCCAGAACTAATTTGCGTCGCTTTGTCCGGCAGCGCCGCGCTTGCGCGGTTATTTTTGATTAAATACAGAATCCAATTTAACATTTATTACTTTTCTAAATTAACTTCTGCATTCACCTCGTAGAAAAAGTTATATTTGATAGAAGACGGAATTAGACACACATGAAAATCAACTTCATGTGTACTTTCTTTTTGTGGTTATTTTAAGAAAAATTATAATAGGTGTTAAATATGATGCTTGTTAGGATCCGTCAACCTGTGTTGAAATTTGGTGGATTTTGTTTTTTAATTAAAGCCCCGCGCGCACAGGTGAAATTTACGAGTTTTCTCTTGGTCGGAAATGCGTTTCACGGAACTTCGGCGTCTGCAGTGAAATATTTTTCTCTTCGTTAAGGCCCAGTGCACGCTGGAAATACGAGGCGATGCGCGGCGTTGATAAGCGTCGGGCTATAATGATCACTATTTGCTGCCGCGTTTAGTGCGACCATGGGGACAAACATTTCGGGTCCTCGAAAGATAGACATCTTTTTATTCTCGTGAAATAGTGAACCCCAAAAGCTAAAACAAACAAAACATTTAAAAACGCGCGGAATTTATATGTAAACGTCAGAAATGTTGTTAAAGCGTCCATTTTGAATTTTGAATCAGTTTTAAAAACCCTAATAAGAAAATCTATTTGTTTATTGTATAACTAGCTTTAGCCCACGGCTTCGCTCGCGAATATCTAAAATAATGAAGTTGCTTCCGTACGCGTCTGTAGTCACAGAAGAAGTAACAATGAAGTAGAATGGCGGGAAGTTTAAAATGGCTGAAAGTATAGTCTATGGAAGTATAGTGTACAGTCTCCATAGTGTAGTCAATTGGATTTGATGTTGACGTAGCTGTCGGTAATACAGTGTGATAATACAGTGTGATGGTACTATAGTACTTAGGTTTGAGCTTCATTGCTGGAATGCTAGATGGCGTTAAAGTAGTCAAATAGCCAGATGCAGAGGTATTATTGGCTAAACAATTTCTTTATTTTATTTAAAAAATAATTTTTTTTATTAAATAAAAAGTAGCCTATAACCATTCGGGGACCACTAAGAATATGTGTACAAATTTTCATGATGATCGGTTAAGTAGTTTTTGCGTGAAAGTGTAACAAACATCAGGACTTTCGCATTTATAATATTAGTAGGGATGTATAATATTATAGCCTGAAAGCTTTGAGCTGAGATTTGTTCAAGTGACGTTCATAAATCTTGTTGAAAAATAAAGCCACACGTTGCGCACGTTTTACAAAAGCTTTCCGAGGCTTTAGAGAAATGATTTGACGTGTTCGCGGTGGTCGTGCAGTCGCCGTGACGTACGTTTATTATGTAAATAGTGCATAATCGTCGCCATTTGCTGCACCATGGCACCGAACGCGATTTCGTGCGATTGGATTGTGCGCGCGGTCGCAAAGTGGCCGCCTTATTCCGATTAGCATAATCCAATTTGAAGCAAACAAGGCGTACCTATTTGGTATTTTGCAATACCAAAATCTCTATGATTTTACTGAAAAATTTTGTTTGCATTTTTCTTCGCTTTGCAAACAACAAACACATTAATATAATTGCTGAAATTCTCTAATTACATGCGCCCCTCATAAAACTCCCTCCGTTAGTTTGCACTAACATTGCTATAAAAAAAGCACTTGTGGCAAGACAAACCAAGAACACTCGAACGTTTAATTTATTGTTGTAGCGGTATTGTTTTTATCGCTTTGTAATAAACTGCTGGGCAGATCCTCATTCTGCATATATTATTTTACAATATTGCCTTAGTTATTTCCATGTTTTATGTTTCATCTAAAATTTTATGCTTAAATACACACGCAGCAGCCATTTATATATTTCTAACTACAAACAGTTTGTTTTCATGATAAAAATAAAACAAAAACAAAAAAACCAAAACCGTTTATAGACTTTGTAGCTATATGAGATATTCTTCAGTCGAGTGTGAGTGTGGTGGTTGATAAGTGTCATTCAGCATTTTGTCGAAGTCGAATTGGCGTGCACTGCGGCGCTGACCACTTCGATTCGATTTCTCAATATCTCGCTAGACTCCTCTTGGTCTCGCGGACCGAAATGAGCACGAAATTAATTATTTACGATGAGACGGCATCTTTCGGCGTGCTTTGCATCTCGCGCAGCGCC